GGGGGGAGGGGGAGGTGGAGGAGGAGGAGTAGGGAGAGACTGGAGAAGAGTTGTGCAGAAGTAGTGTGGAGAGAACGAGATCAGACGAGCTAAATGTTGTCGACTGATATGGACAGGAGGGGGGTTGGGGGTGCCGAGATGGCGCGGGGAGTCGAAGGGGGGGGGACGGCGTGGACCAGCCACCTGTAGAATACGTACCAGATGAAGAGCAGAGTCACGAGGACAGCGTTCTTCTTGCAGGATGTCGAGAAGAAAGTCACGAGATCACGAGGGAGCGGTAAGTTTGTCTCTACCGATGGGAGAGTGACGGTGAGGCTGGTTGTTGCGAGCTCTGGGTCTGGGTTGTGGGGACTTTTGGGGAGAACAAGGAGAGGAATGTAGAGAGAAAGAGTTTGGCAGGCCTGGCAGGGCCGAGTGAGGCTGAGAGGCAATGAAGAGAGAGATCTAGAGAAAGAGAGAGAGGGAGAGAGAGAGAGAGAGAGAGAGGATGAGTGCGAGTGGGATGGTGGGAGAATGAATGAGTTTGAGGCGCGTGTTGGTGTGTAGCACCAGGATGATGGCGAGCTCTATTGCTCAAGTTGCTAATGGAAACAAATGCAGATTACGATTAGGATTGATAGCTATGGATGAAAAAGCTTGTCTGCAGGGAGGGAGTGAGTGAGATGTGACGCCCAAAGGGTAAAAAGCCACACTAGCTCTCAGGCCATCAGGGTGCTTACCCTTGGGCCTGGAGCCTGGTGGGAAGCCGAATTGTCCACTCACATTGCGCGATCAAGTGCGGCACAGAGATTCTTTGACAGAGCTCCTTCTGTGTCTCGACCCTGATTGTAAACCTCTTTGGGGAATGACTAATCCTTGCCCTATTGCCCTGGGTTATAGCCTCTCCTCTCGTGCCACCGCGTCACTTGTGTGCCCATATCTGCGTTCTGCCGCCGGCCGCCGCCTCCGCTGCCTTTGGCCGGGAGGCATCCTGCGTGCACAATGATGCTCCCAGCGCCACTCGCAGCCCTCTCTTCCTATCTCCCCCCCAATACCTCAATACAAATCCTCCCCCCCTCGAGCCACCAGCTCTAAGCGACCGGCATCTGCGCGATCAACAGAGATAATCTTTGATACGCACAGGTGCTTGATGGCTCGATGGCCGATGGGCGCGATGCGACGCGTTCTGCCTGACCACCTGACCATGACCATGTGGGGGCAAATGAGAGCAATGGGGGGCTATGGCTGGAGGCACGGTAGGCAGGAGAGGATGTCAGAGTCAGCCCCATGCCAGGTAGCTGCGGGCAGGAGATTGTATTGCAGTCAACATGACGATTTCAGACCCAGGGCGGGAAAATGTCGATCTTGGGCGTACGGGCGTAGGGCCTGCGCACGAGCCTTTGTACAGCACACATCCAAGGCCGAGGCACCAGGGAACCCATGGTTGGCCGCGTCCCTGTTCTTTTCCGCCAGGTCTGCCATTCCGCCACGACAGGTCTCAAGAGTTGAGTGGCGATTCGTCGACGCCGCTCGATGATTCGACGGCACTACCCCACAGGCCCTCCTCGCCATGCCACCCTTCACGTTCCAACCCGGTATGTACGGCTTGGGCGGGGCAGTGAGTCCGCTATCATCCAGGTCAAACAGTGGCAAATACCAATCCTCCCCCACGCCCCCCCCCCCCCCCCCAACGACTCTGGGCAAACCCTGGCACCTCCCCGAACGCCGGCGGCTCTGCATCGTAACGGCAGCACACGTCGAAGTAGTGCAGGGATGCTTGAAATCGTGGGAACACGGACGATCAAGACGAATCCTCCCCACCCCCACCCCCACCCGCCCCGACTTGGGATGTATTGGCCGTTGATCCGTCGACAGATCAACGGCCGCCGCGTCGAAAGGATTGGACGATCAGAACGATCATTCAAACAACCGCGATCCACGCGGTTGTACACATGTGTATCGACGATCACGGGCCCCAAGCTCCCAGCACGCCCAGCGCAAGCTGCTCCCCGGCCTCGGCGCTGCGGAAGAAGCGCGCCGCTCCAGATCGTCCCGATCTGGTACAGTGAATGTGTTCAGGTATCGACGGCCTCCTGCTACGCCACCGATTACCACGGCCGCGGCGCCCACTGCGCACGCCACGCATGCATTCCTCTCCTGCCGTCCGCGAGGCTGAGGCGTCGCGATCGTAGCGAGAGCGGTGCGTGCAGGCAACAACGATGAGCGCGGTGCGGAAAAGAAAAAAATCATTACCATAGCCGCCGGCAATGGCAATGGCCAGCGCCCAGCCCTCCGCGCCCACATTCCCGCCCGCACCCCTCGTCCGGCGTGTTCTGTGGGGACGTGCCTTCCTTCTGTGAAAGTGGCAGCAGGGTTGGTGCCTCACCCAACCGACGTGCTTCACGTCATGTACGCTCATACCTCCGAACTGAGGCCTCGCCCATCCCGGCCATCCAGCCGCCAGCCGGCCAAGCTCACCACATCCTTGAGAGAAACAAATTAACAATTTGGCACAATGAGTTCAGACACGTGGCCCGGCCCACCTGCCCCGCCTGGCCCCCCACTTGCGGGGCATTGCTCGGCAGCCTCGGCAGCCAGTTTCCCACTCGCACTTCATCACTTCACATTCCGCACCGTTGTCAAGCGGATTGTCGAGCGGAATCGTGGCGTCGCCAACGCCGCAATAATCAAGAAGGCGTGCAGACAGTACCTAGGAACTCGGTTGTTCGATGTCGTGCATGGTGCAGCGGCAGTCACACAGTGGCAGTGAACTGCCTGACGGATGCAAGCGATGCGTAACTCGTGGCGCGGACATGACCCCCGCGCCATGGCGGTGGACAGGGGCGAACAGGCTCGAATCGCAGATCTCTGGTCATCTGCTCATCCGGCATGTGGGGAATGGCGTGGAACCAGGCCGGGATGCGCGTCTCGGTGTCGCGTCAAGCGAGCAGGCGAAGCGACGACGCGTTCGGCAGCAGGCAGTGGCTGAGGGTTCTGTAGGGCGTGGCATCCGATCTCGGATGTTTGATCATACCGAAGACCGGCAGTACTGTTGTTCTGCGAATGCGGGATGGCTGGGTGCACAGTTCCTCGGCCAAGTCGTCGATGGCTGGAAGCGTGACGGGTCATGGGTGTCGAACGTCATGTCACGAGTCGCCACAGTCAGATGGCAGGCGTTCATGACGAGTGCGCTCCCCGGCACTTCAATCTCATGGTGAGCAAACGCGGCTGAAGGGCGCGTGGCACGATGAGTTCGCGCTCGGCTTGTGGCGGGCGGCGCGGTATATCTGTTCATGCTGCAGATGCATCGTTTCCCCTTGAGGGTTGTATCGAGCTCCGCCAACATGAGGTCGATCGTAGCGTTTTTGGCGCGCGGAGGTGTTAGGTGAACGGAGTCTCCATCATGCTGACGACACTGTAGTACTGTGAAGGGAAGTTTGCTCAGAGCGCCTCTGTTGAGCGTGGGATGACAAGCAGCTGTTTCCTCGAAGACATACGGACCACAGTCCATATGGAACATCCCTCTTCTACTCGTTCACGCATCAGCTTTGGGCACGGTGATTGTCGTGGTGATGGTGGAAGGCGACTGACTGGCAGGATGAACGGAGGACAGCCACGTGGCACTCAGCTGTGTCCCGGCAAAATCTGCCCCAGCCCTAGCCTCAACATCTGCCCTATGGCTCAGTTGGCTAGCGCGTGGAGCTGTTACGATTATTCGAAACAACTCCGAGGTCCACGGTTCGAGCCCGTGTGGGGCAGTTTCTTTTGCATTTGAGCACTCTCTCGTTTTTGCCTGCCATGATGGTGCAGTCCATCTGGCGATGCAACTGCCCCGTCAGTACGCAGGGGAAGCCAAAATTTGCGCCAGGCAGACGACAAACCGTCGTCAACCCATGCCCTATGGCTCAGTTGGCTAGCGCGTGGAGCTGTTACGACTGATCGCAACAACTCCGAGGTCCACGGTTCGAGCCCGTGTGGGGCAGTCTCTTTTGGCCGGATCGTCTCCAGCGACGGCTCGGTGCGCTGGGCTCCGTTCTCAGAGCGGCTTTTCTACGAGGTTGCGGTCTATCATTCGCTTTGGGCATTGGGCATAACAGTGGGCGTCTTGAATTGCAACCACGCAAACGGACTTTGCATGAAACAGGGAGCGGGCAAGAACGGGCAGAATCGGGCAAGGGCGGGCAAGGAGAAGGGTGTCCGAGCATCTCGCAATGCCCTATGGCTCAGTTGGCTAGCGCGTGGAGCTGTTACGATCAGTCGAAACAACTCCGAGGTCCACGGTTCGAGCCCGTGTGGGGCAGTTATTTTGCATCTTTGAATTTCCTGGTTTTGTCCTTCTTGAGCCTGCCTTTAACCCAGAGGGTCCAGGGCTGAGGCTAGCCACGTGAGCTCGCCACTTCTGCACTGTTGGCCTGCCCGTTTACCGGGTCGCTCGCGCCAACAGCTATAAACAGCCGACACGCTCTGGGACTTGAGATGTCGAGTTGTGAGTGGGGTGTGTGCACACCGCGGAACTGCGTGCCTCGAGTTGATTAGCCCACCGTGTGGATCCCGCCCGCATATTGAGGCACTTCCGCGAGACAAACGTGCGCGTCCTGCCACTAGAACAGCCGATACTCGATCTGTGGCGTCCGTTCCGTCGCACATCAAATCCGCCAGGCTCAACCCAGTGCGAAGTAGAAAGCATAAACAATACAAGCCCCGATGAAATGAACTGGAGTACAAGTCGGCATGGCGACGTCCACTGGCCTAACGAAAGAGTCTGGAGCCGGCCAAATTAGTCACGCGAGTGTGGCGAATGCAGCAAGCCCGAGCGGCTGGCCGCGAGCGCGCACGCCTCGTCGTCGACGAGCAGGCGGCTCCGTGTCCCGAGCCACGAAGTCTCGTCTACGCCCGTCTTGTCGCGCAACCAGCGTGCGGGGCAGCGCGTGCAGCTCTCGTCGTCGTGCGGGACGGCGAGGTTGCAGCGCTTGCAACGCGTCGTCGCAAAGTGGTCCGAGCTGGCGTGAGCATGCTGCATGCTTCTGCAATGCAAGAATGGGATGGCATGCCACGAGGCGCCCTGCAGGGAGGTGTAGGATGGCAGGCGTCGCATGCTCACGGCATCGAGAAGCGGGGAGCAACAGGCACCGGCAGATATGCCCGCCTCGTTCGAGACTGGACAGCCTGACCGAGTAATGTGTCGCCTGATCGCCTGATCGCCTGATCGCTAGACTCACCATGCGACGGGGACCATGAACGCGTTGAGGAAGCAGCGGTGGAGGCGGGGGCGCGCATCATGCCCGATCTGCGCGCACAGCGTCTCGGCGCTGGGGATGTGCCACGTCCCGACGCCGCCGCGCGCGCGCTGCGTCCGCATGTCCTCGACGGGCAGCGGCATCTCTGGCACGGGCTCGGCGCGCAGTGTCCCCAGCGGATGCCGCCATGCGGAGGCGAGGAGGTCCTCGTCCGTCTCTTCGTCGTCGCGCGCTAAAGTCAGCACCGCAAATGACATTGCTTACGTCGTGAAAAGGCCGACGTCGATGTGTACTCGGAGTGCACGTCCGAGGGGAAAGACACGGTCGAGCCCGTGCGCGTGCTCACGCTCTTCACTGTGATGACAGAGTCATGCGCTTTGGCCTTTGATCGTGGCGAGGTCGGCATGCAGAGGGTGGAGCCGGGTGAGGCGGGCATGGAGCAGAGGGTTGAGCGGGGTGAGCGGGGGGAGGTAGGCGAGCGTGGTGGCGGACTGAGCGCGCTCAACGAGTACGGGTGTACTTCGATGCGCTGCTTCAAGTCTTTGAGCATGACGGCTGGAGGGGGCATAGGGATGGCGACGGCGACAGCGCCCATTATATCTGCTGTGCGAGTGGGCGTCGCTGTCGGGGTCCAGGGTGTGGTGAGACCAGGAAAGTAGAGATAGCCTTCGAGTTGGGTCGTTGAGGTGGGGGTGGTGACAGGAAGCAGGAATAGGTGACGCTCGACGACTGATGAGCGCAACTCAAACAAAAGCTACAGAGTACGGCAGCACCGTCACGAGGGTGGCACACGGCCAAGTCGAGGCGAGGCAGCTTGGCGGCCTGGCACGCTGATGAGGTCCTGGGCGGTGCCTGTCCGGGAACGTCGATGCACGCTGCCTGCGGGACAGAAGGTACGACGACGGCGTCGTGCCGCTCGCATTCTCGGGTCTGGTACCTTTCGTGCTGAGAGCGGGCTTGTGAGAACAGCAGTAGAACCTCGTGCGCTAGTGATAATGCAGCGTGCCTCGTCTTTGCGCGCTTGGCAGCCATGGGTTGGGGACGTGCACTCTGAACTGTGAGAGTTTGAGCCGGTGTTGCGGCATACTACGTAATATCGTAGGCGGCCGCACACTGCAGACCGAGCAGGCTGCACGCACTCTCGTAACGCAGGCCTACATATCACCCTTCCCTCCCGTGCTTGATACGACGATGGAGTCGTATGCACCTTTCTCAGGTGTATTATGGGAGCTTCTCACCACGTCCGACTCCACCATCAACATTCCCGCTACCCCGGACAAGGACGTGGCTTCTTTGTTCTTCCCTGTGGAGGAAAGGCACTAGTTCTAGCGCCCTGTTGGTGAAAACTGGGGTCAGTTCTGGGGAGCAGGGTGCCGAACGCGTTGAGATACATGACTCATAATCCAGACGCTGTTGTGCTCGCGCTAGGGCCACGATTGAATCGCGCGATTGTAAGCTTTTTGATCGATGATCACGTTCGAAAAGGCCCGTCCAGCAATTCTGACAGTGAGGGCGGCGATGCGCTGCGCACTCCACTCCGTGACAGTGAGTCTCCGATGATAAATGAATCTGCGTCTTTCGACTGCGTCAGTTGTCCTCTTTCCCGTCGGCGTGATAAGGTGCACTATGCCATCTCCGTCCCGAGAGCGCCACAGGATCGCCCACCCCACAGCCAGCCAGTAGCAGAAACATGCGACAAGGGCTTCCGCCACCGCCACACCCAAGGTAAATCCTCCGAGGGGGGATGGGGAAGGTGGTCGGTGGCCGCCTCATCGTGCACATCACGCAACCCTTCTTTCCAGCAGATGAAACGAATGTAATGTCCCGCGACTTTGTCGTTCGGAAGACTATCCTCTCATACGGAGGCCGGCGCGGAAGGGGTATCACCGTGAGCACGTCCAATCCGCGTGAACTGGTCGTGAGCACGCGCGGCCAGCCGCGCATTTGCCAAGGTAGAGTGGGCCAAGGGCGTCTGTGTGTTGAGCGGTCTCCACTCTGTCGGAAACAACAAGGCCCCTTCCCCAGGGTCGCTGGATGGCGAGCTAGGTCACGTTGACAATGTCACTTCTATCTCCTCGCTAGTATATCGGTTAGTATATTCGCCTCTCATTTGAGAGCTGGTCAATTCGTTGACTTAATCGCGAAAGAGCAGGGTTCAACTCCCTGGCGGGGAATTTTTTTTCTTTTCCTTTTGACATCGGGCCCGGTCAGTCTTGTTTGCAGTGAGCCTCGTTGAGGACGTTCGGACCTTCTTCTCATGATCTCAAGACACCACCCGTCCACGTCTACTACCCAACTAAACTGTAGCCAGTCTTCACTTCGTCACGATCAGTCGATGATGCCCTGCGGAGGCACCTTCATGCCACAACGTGAACAGGTGACTGTCTTGCGCGCCACGAAGCTTGCGTCAACTTCGACCAGCGCCTGCACACCACTCACTAGATCATGCTGCAGGGGAAGCAGCAGATAAGGAAACACAGGCCTCCGGCGCGGATCTTGGTGTTGTGTCCGAGCCGCGCGCACTCCGGGTTGAGCTCGCCTGCGTCAGCCGCGCCGGGCTCGAAAGGCATACCGACCGGCGCGCCTGGAGTCAGCTGCCCGGCGACGCAAGCGAAGTACCGTTAGGCGCGGAGGGGAGGACGGGCTTCTGGGCGATGCTCTCCTTGGGCTCCATGTTTAGCTGCTGGTGTTGATGCTGATGCTGGCGCCGGGCTGGTATCTCGTTCGTGATCGAGAGGGTCGCTGGACCAAGGTGGGTGGCCTAGACAGAGGCGGAGGAGTGGAAAGAAGAGGGCGCCGGCGATGTGGTGCATTTTGAGTCTGGTCGCGCTGGTCGTGCTGGTCGCGCTGGTCTGCGTTTCGCGTCGCTGGTTGCCTTGGAGCTCTGTCGTGGGCTCGTGGGCTGGCGTGACGACGAAGGAGCGGGGTCGTGCGGGGCGCTGCGCCTCGTGTAGAGCAGCGCGTTGAAGGATGGTAATCCGGCGAGTGCGAGGGGCAAGAGAGGGCTGAAAGGCGAGATCTCTTGGCCTTGAAGTGTTGGGAGGGGTGTGCGGATCCGCTGATCGTCAGGCGAGGTTGAGAAGTCTCGAGCTCGAAGCAAGAAGAGGGTGAGCGAGTTTGTCAGTTGAGGCGGTAGAGATAAAGGCCCCTGTAGCACATCTGATGATCGATCATCAGTCGCCTCCAGCAGATTGCGCAAAGTATGCCGCGATGGGTTCTTGCCGCTTGCGCTGACAGCATGGACATCTAGTATTGGACTGGCTGCTTGTTGGCCAGTGGCTGGACGCGATGCATGCGCGGGGCGGAAAGGCGAGACTGAGGCGGGAGGAGGCGATCGCGACGGAGAAGGCTCCGGCAAAGCCGGGACCAGGCACCCGCCTCGACCGCCTCCTCTCCCAGGTGTCATCTTCTGCCCCTTCTGATCGACACTCTGCATCCGCAAGCACATGCATTGGTGATTTCGTGGTAGTACAACAGACAGCGGAGCGCGCGTGCTTTCTCGGTCCACGATCCCCGAGCTATGGTCGCTCGCCGCAGCGCCCGCATCGCGCCCGCCGGAGGCTGGAGTCAGCCGTGACCTCTCCGCGGATCGGACTCACAGGACGCCTCCAAAGGCTGCGTCGTGCCCCTGCGCCCGGCAGACGGGGTGGACGGGCGGCTGCCGGAAATTGGCCGGCGCCGCGGGGTCGGCCGAGTGGCAGAGCGGAGGTGCTGGGATTAGCGACGTATCGAAGGAGGACTCACGCCCACGAATGCTGTAGCTTGCGACGTAGCTCTCGTAGCTCACGGCACTCGAGCGGCGGCGGGGGAAACGGGCCTCGCGCTTCGGGCGGAACTCCATGGTCATGTTGAGCGCGGGTGAAGGGCGTGAGGAGGGCGTGATGATGGGAGAGAGCGGGCGCATGCAGTACTTATACCGTCCTCAACGACTCAGTCCACCAGGTCACATGCAGAAGCGTTCTCACGACGTCGAATCCTACTCCGCGGACGGGCGTCCTAGAGCGCAGCGCATCGCCCCGCAGTAAATCGAGGCGGAGCAGGCACTCACCCAGGCCCAGCGGGAACGCACCGCAGTTCAAAAGTCAAAACAAGGTTAACTGACTCTTTGCGGTATGCGAGCATGGCTGTGCATGCCGTCACACGAGTTTCGAGTCTCGAGTCTTGACGTCAGAGATCCATATCAGAATTCTCTTCTCTAACTCGTCAGCTCACCGAAGCCCCAGCCTTCACATTGTCAATTGTGCATCAAATGTTCACGCTGCGTATCACACACCGATTTGCACCTTCCCGTGCTTCTTCCCGTGCTTGATTGCTTAACGGTACGGAATGTCCACGCTCACGCTGCTGCCGCCTAAACCCCCAGTGGGCAGGACAAGGTCGAGAACCACGCCGCGGTCCGTTTCCGTGCAAGTCCCTTCACCGCAGCGGAGGCGCCTGGCTGCACTCCTGACCGTGATCCTCACTCCTGTGTGCGCCTGACTTGGGTCGGAGACAGTGACCATGAGGACACGCCCGATCCTGCGGCGTCGGCCCGTCGTGAACAACACTGCAACAGGCGTGTCGACCGTGACCTCCAGATCCCAACGACGGTGGGGGACGGTCGCCGTCAGCGGCGCTCCGGGCCAGAAAATTAGGGCGAGATGATTTCGCCCCGAGGCTGCGCCGATGACGCCGCCGAGGTCCAGGGGCGTGGTGGTAGGGCGTCGGCGTTCGCGGCGCAGCCGGTGGGCGTTGGTGTCAGGGAAAAACTCGTAAGAGTACGCGGTGGAGGGGACAGTCGTGTACGCAGAGAAGATGTCGACAGTCTTTACGCCGGCCGCCGACGTCGAGATGGCCGACCAGTTGCCGGTGCGCGCACCGGCTGAAAGGGTCAGGTTAAACGGCGTCCCATGAGAAAGGTAGCCGTTGCCTGCGTACAGGAGCGTCGAGCCTGTGATGTTACGCTGGTCCTGGATGTCGACAGCATTGCCATCGACAGCTACATGTGTGCCATCGGCGGCAGTGCGCTGATCGAGTGTGGTGATAACCGGAGCATCGCTGGCTGCAGCGGTCCTATTCACGACGACGCTCGTAGTGGTCACGAGCACGCTGTCCTCAAAGAAGAACCAGGCCTTGCGGAATGCTAACGAGCCGTCTGCAGGGTCGAGGTAGTCCATGGCGCCGGCGCCGAACTCGCCATTGCTCACGACTCCGACGTAGCTGAGCTTCCCCATGAACTCCACCCGGTCGGAACGCAGCGGAGCGGCACGCAGAATTGACGTTGTGCCGGGGATCAGGTGCCAATCCCAGCCTGCCTGAATGTCCTTGTACTCGTTGCCAGTCACGTACGAGAACAAGGTGCCTTGGCCGAGGAGGAAGCCGTAAGGATTCGCCGAGTTCACGTACTCAGTGTTAATCGAGCGAGAGGAGATCATCTTGTTGGCCAGCACGTAGTTGTTACGACGATGAACCATGTAATCAGCAGCATAGAAGGCGTGATTGCCCGTAAGCGGCTTTGAACCGTTGCTCTGAAGACGCCTGACGGTACTCGACAAGTCATTGGCGCCAGTAAAGTCGGCGACGGCAGTTGCGAGCCTGCTTGTGTTAAAATTGATGTCGGCAGACGCCTGAAGGTCACTCGTGTGGAACGCGAGGAAGCGCCCGATCGTATTGAAGTCCCAGTGCAGCCGCCTGGTGCTCTGGTCGGCGTAAATCATCCACTCGCTTCCGCGGATAAAGGTCGCGACGGCCTCGCGCACAGTGTCGTTGGCGGCAAAGGCGGTGCCAATCGCCTCGCCCTCCAGCTGGATGAACGCGTTGAGGGCGTCTTTCCCATAATTTCCATTGTAAAGGATCCCATCGTGCTGAAGGAACGAGCCGTCTCGGTGTGTGCCGTCTTGTGCTGGTGCGTCGGCGAACTGGTGTGAGCTGAAACACCTGGCGTATGCTCACCAAATAAGACCCCATCGCCCGGGAGAATGCTTCCTCGACAATCGTCACGTTGTTGGCAAACAGTGCCATCGAGATCGAGTTTTGCATAACCTGTCGTTAGCTGCAAGGAAAGATATTGACTCTCACGTTGACCATGTTGGCACCGGTCAGTACCCCGAAAGTCGGATTATTGAGATCGCGGAGCTCCCATGCGCGGTTTGGGATGCTGAAGCACTTCTCCCTCTGCAAGTCCGTGAGTGTGGCCGGCATCACAAGTAGACATCCGGTTGATAGGAGCTGAGGAATCAGAATCACGTTCCCGAACCAGTTCTGATTCCAGGTGCCAGGCGTTCCGCAAGGGCAAGGCCTGCTGTCAGCATGTCCCGCTGCGCCGAGCTCAACTCACGGCTTGCCGCCTTCCGCGGTACAACCGGGATTGGTGTAGTCACGCGCAAACCACCAGTCCATGCCCTTGAGGGCACCAGCAAGGAACGCCTCATTGCCGTGATACTCAACCGGTGCGGAGGGGTTGAGGCCCGACCACGCCGAAGCTAAAGCAATGACACGAATCCAGTGCAACTGAATCGGCCAATTCGCGCGCCCTACTGTTAGCACAAGCTTCGTCGCCAAAAGTAGGGAGGTTGTGGGGAAGGGGCGTTTTGCGCCAAGAGGAGGACTCACGAGCGGCGCAGCCAAGACTGTAGTCGACGTCTGCCCAGATACCCTCGTCACTTTGACTCTCGAGCCACATTGAGACGTTGGCCATAACGGCTGGGGTAGTGAAGCTGGCCATGTCAATACGGCGGCGCTCGAGGATGAGGTCGACATCGGACTTGGTCTGCGCCTTGACGAGCGACGAGAGGGCCGCCGAAGCGGCCAGAAGGCGCGTTAAAAGCATGCTTGCGCCGTGAGCAACCTCGGTGATTGGGAGAGCAGTGAGGAGTCGAGCGGAGAGAAGGTTGTTGATCATGTCCATATATATGTTGCGAAGCGCCGCCCATCCGCTGGGCCCGCCGAGTGCTGTGCACAATTGTCAGATCGGCGGCGCCCAGTGCGAGATCGGATGGTGCGAAAGGCTTCGCGCGCCGCTAGTGGTGGGGCATTGGCCAACGCATCGATTGCGACGCGTGCGACGCGAGCAAGTCGTGTGAAGCACGGTGAGATTCATGGGTCGAGTAGCAAGCAAGCAATGACGCAGGAGCGGGCCGGCACCGGGCCGGCATTCTCCCAGGCCTGGTCTCAGACCAGTTGCACCAACGGAAGGCAACCATCATTGCATGATTGCAAGACGGCGCCATGGCGGCGTAAGGCGGTACGGGTGACTGTCAGCAAAGAAGCGTGGAATAGAGGCTGAAGCGATGCGCACATCCGATCTCATCTCCTACATTGGATTGTTTGCATTATTCGAGGAACATTCCGCACGTCTGCACATCGGCGCCAGTGCGAATGCGCACTGCTTTGCCCTGCATTCAGCCTTTCACCTTCAACTCCCACACGCCCCGTCGCCCCTCGTTAGTCCGGCTTCAGCCGATCACCACCAACTGCACAGGACGATGAGAGTGACTTGACTTGGCGGCATTATGTTGGGTCACTCGGCTTGGAGCCTCGCTGAAGTGGGGCAGAGATACCTCCACCTTCAGTGTACACCGTGGGAAAACAACTCACGAGTAGCCGTGCCTGGCGAGATTTCCGAGCTGCGACAACTGTGACCACATGAACTCTGTCTCGCACTCGCATACTCGCAGGCTTGCAAGACGCAGTAACAAAATCGTATGGCACCCAAACGCAAGCGCGGCGACGAAGTCGCACGAAGCGACGTCGTGCATCGCCCTGCACCGGGTACCAAGTCGTTTCCCACTGGGCGCGCGGTGCGCGACGGTCTGACCACCGGCACGAGGCAAGGTGAGTGGTAGCAACAATGGCAGTCTGCGCAGCTCATCTCACGACGCTGAGGACTAGGCTGTGCTGGTTGATAAAGCTGAAAGCAGCCCTCGTATCGTTTCATCAGCAAATTCTCACCCCTTACTCAAGCCTTCCCCTCGCCATCTCGCATGCGACCGTCTTGATTTTGCAGCACTACCTCGATGTTTCACCGACTGTTGACGAGATCTTCGCAGCCTGGAAGGCAGCCGACGAGGTCAGATAGGCGAGAGACCAAAGCTGACGACAGGCGAAGAGCGATCAGCTTGCGCAAACGGCCGCGCACCTCCTCGCTCTGATTCTCCGCATCCTCACTCCGCTTCCCTTCTTCCACAAGCAGCTGGTTGGCATTGTCAACAAGCTCGTCACCCCCTCCGAACCATACCATGCCTCACTTGGACGTCTAGTTGCCTCTGGGAACCGCGACAACATCCACGCGGGTCTCGACCTTGCCGCCGCGGCCGCGAACGTCGACACCCCTGATGTCACTAACCTTTTGGGCTCGTCCCGTGGGCGCCTCGCTGTGAAGGTCTGGCAGGCGGTCGTTGATGGAGGTGCGGCCAAGAACTTCGGCAAGCTCCTTCAAATGCGCAGGAGGAACAAAGACGGTACTACAGCCGAGTACGGCGTAGACCCCCTTGACCGCGCCGACATCCGCCACCTTGGCATCCACCTTCTCCTCCCACTTCTGCCCACGACAGAATTCCACGCGCACGCCAAGTCGATCCTTCCCAATCTCACTAACGGCCTGATGGACGACCCACCCGTGACAGTATACAGGGTGCTCTCGGCAATGTGGGGTGCGATCAGCGGGCCGCCGCCCGGTGTAGCCCGCCGCATATCTCTCGTTCTCCTTGACGAGGGAGCCCTCAGCAACATCTCGCGTCTGCTAAGCCGAGAGGCTGTTGAAGAGTCGTCGGAGCGCGCTGTCGGAGACATTGCCAAAGGGTTTCTTGAGAGTGTGACGTCCAACCCAATGCGTGGCATCTGCTTTCCCGATGAGGGATGGTATGAGCGACAAGACGAGGACAGCAAGCAAAAGCGCGGGCTGCACAACCGTATCATTTCCAATGTTGTACGCAAGCTCGGTGCCCGAGTCGTCGACGATGACGGTCGTGTGGGCGGCTGGGTTCTCAAGGTGTTCGAGGCATGCCCCGAGCTCGTGGCTGGTTACTGGTCGTACTCAGCGCTTGCCCTCGACCCTCGCCTTGATGCACGCTGGATCGCGACCATGGCATATGTTGGGCGTGTTATCTCTCTACCGCTCCCGGCGCGGGAGAAGTTTAACCAGCCCGCGCCGCGCGGGACGTCGGCTGCTTCCATGCCTCCGCGCGCCACCCCACCGGCGGTGGGGATCGTCGTGGAAAGCGTCCTCCCGTCCCCGATGACCAAGCAGCACCTGACGAAGGGCCTCCAGCACTCTTCGCACCTCGTCCAGCACGTCACGGCGCTCGCACTCGCCCGGGGTCTCCAGAAGCTCTCGGCTGTGCAGGCTCTCTACGCGTCTATTGCGGATGAACTCGGCGAGAACAGCGAGGGGCCGTGGCGCGCCGGTGCACGCGAGCTTGAGGCTGAGTGCCGCCGCCGTGTGCCTGAGGTCTCCACGCTCATCGAGTTTGCGCAGAAGTCGGCGACCATGGCGCGCCCGCCACCTGACGCTGATGAGGACTGGGAGCCCGAGCCGTCAGCGGCTGCGCGAAGTGCGATGCTCACGGAGACGGCCCTTCGTCTCTTCGGGCTGTACCATCGCACGTTGCCGTCCCTAGCCGGTGAGGCCAAGTTCGACGTTGGGCGACTGCTGGTCTCCGCTTCTAGCAAGAATCAGGAGCGCCGAGCCCGCCGCGAGGCCCGCGAGGGCTCGGTCGTATCAGACTCTGGAAGTGTCGTTTCCATTGGAACAGTCGGCACTGTTGGCATGGGAGGCGGCTTCGGTCACTCGCGCGGCGATGTCGAAGGCTTCGAGGCGCTATCGCAGCTGCACGTCCTGCGACTGTTGTCTGAAGTATCGGGCTGGAACTGGACGAACAAGGCTTCCGGCTCCCAGTTCACCTACATCTACCACATCTTGCAACTGCACCTGTCAACCCGCAACGTGGTGACGCAAGCGATGACAACGACTCTTTTGCACCGACTGCTCGAGCCATCCCTCCTGTTCGAACACGACACTCTCGAGTTGCCCATTTGGCTCAACGCCCTTCCGCGGGCGTCCGACGCCGTCAGCGGGCCAATGTTCATTGCGCAGCAGATCCACCTGCTTTCCTTCCTCGACGAGTGCGTGCGTCGCGCTCTCAAGACCCCTCACAAGTATATTGAGGAGGGCGCCACCATCGCTCCTTCTTTCTCGCCGTGGGAGGTCGCGTCTCCACTACTCGTCACCTTCGTTGAGCAGATGCACGCCAAGCTGCTAGGTATGCACATCGCAACAGAGGCCGCCGCTGTAGTACTCAACTACCTCCGCCGTGTACTCGTGGGCCTTCTTGGGAAGCAGGCTAGTGACGAGTTCGTCCGCGCCATCGTCACGCGCCTCTCGTTATCGGTCCAAGAAGCCAAGTCTAAAGGTCAGCCGCGCCAGGGCCTCGACGAAATCATTTCTGCCATTGAGAGCGACCTTGACGTCGTCTTCAAGGGGAGTGCTGCCATCGCCTTGCATCCCGAGACCCCCCGCCTTGTCGACGATGCCGAGTGGTCCGAACGCAGTTTCACGCGCAACTGTCTTGGCAGCTTCGCCATGGGCGCCGACACCAAACTCGGGCAACTGGCGATGCTCGTCAACACCGCCTCCGTAGAGGAGGGCGCGCGTCAGGCACAGTTCCTTGTGCATTTCCTCACGAGTCAGGCCAGTGAAGACGTCCTTCTCCTCCTCGCGACGATTCTGAGGCGTGCGGGCGATGACAGCGCAAGCAGACGTCTCAAGGCTGCAGTTTTCAATGACGCCGCAGTGCGCGATCTCTTCCTGACAAAGGCAGGGGACAATCTGCGCCCCCATCTCGCGGAGTTAGCTGCGACACTCTCGCCATGCGCGTTCGACAAGGCTCTCGCTGAGCCATATGCCCACGCTGCGGCGGAGATACTCGACGGCAAAACCAAGTTGCCACGGGCGCTCGCCACTTTCCAGCCTTGGATTCCCTTCCTGACAGCCAAACAGGTCGATGTTTCCCTTGCCACTGCTGTCAAGCGCGTCACCAAGACCAACCAGGTGGACGAATTCGCCGCGGCGGTCCTCAGTGCTCTCATCGCTGCATCCCGCCCGCAAAGCGTGTATCCCCAACTGTCCGCACTTCTCAAGCTGGGAGTGTACCGCCCTATCACCGCTCTGCTCGACTCTGCCGTCGCCTCCTCTCTCTCCCGCAGGCTAGACATCGAAGTCACAGACGCCACGCTGTCAGAGCTGGTGTCCCGCGGCGACAGCGATGCTTTTACCCTTCTTGCGCTTCTGATCAACTTGTCGTCCAAGGCGGCTGAGCGGTTCCGTACGCTCGCCATGGAAAGCGACTGCCTTAACGATGCTCGCATTCTTCCGGCCGTTGCCGCGCTTAACGCGGAGGGTATTCCTGCCGAGTTGGGCGAGAATATCGTCAAGGTGGCGTTCACCGCCCTTGTTGACGCCGCACATCCTCAAGAAGTCCATGATGCTGCGAGGAAGCTGATTACGACTCTTCCGCGCCAGGCCCATGCGACGACTGTCGCCGTCCGCCAGCTTACACTCCCGCTCTTCGGACCCCCCTTGGCTCATACCGCACAGGCTCTCGCTGAGAGCGGTAACGCGGATTTTGGGGCAGCGCTTGCTCCTCTCATTGATCTCGGGTTGCAGAGTGCAACTCGCTTGCTCAGCTCGGACGCTGAGCTGTCCGAGGACGAGCTTACGACTCTTGCCGCGCTCCGCAAAGCCATTGAGCTCGCTGCTGGGATGCGAGTGGAGCCGAGCGACCCTGAGCCCGCCATCACCGCCGCCATCACTGAACGGCTTGGGATCCCCCAGGCCCTTGAGTTTGCGGCTGTCCTCGCCCAACGCGCCATGCTTAAGGCTAGCTTCGTGCGCCAGCAGCTTCAGCAGCTCGTGGCATCGCGTGAGCTATCTCGCCTTGCAATGCCTGGCGCCGATGACGAACACCGCTTGGCATTTGTGCGCATCACCCACGCGCTCTTCCTTGCAAGCACATACGTGTCGTGCCAACCATCTTTTGTTGAACCTCTCGTGCCGCTGTACCGCGGCACGCTCGGGTTGGCGGACAAGCTTCTTCTCGAGCTCTTTATCGCCTTTGAGGCCCAGCGCAAACTGTCCCTCTCGAGTGTGCTTCAGCACTGGTCACCTAGCGGTGGAGTTTCCGCCCGTGCACTCGATGCGCTCACCTCCCTCGACCCGCAGAAGGTGTTCAACTCGGCAGCGGCCTTCCCGCTGCGCCGGTCGAACCCGCCGCCAGCGGGCGCACAATCTGTCGACGACGGGCTGCCTCCGGACGTCAAACCTGATGACGTCTACGACCCCGTGTTTGTGCTGGCACTCCTCTCCACAGTCCTGCAGGACGAACTGGGCGGACTGGACTGGGTGGAGATACTGCGTTCCAACGTCCTTGGGTTAGCTGTGTGCGGGCTTGCTTCTCGAGACGCTGGCATGCGCCGCGTTGCGGGCTACGTTCTGGGTCGTAGCGTACAACTCGTCTCGGCTGCCAACTTCCACGAGCAACTAATGCTGCTGCACACGCTTGAGCTCGTCGCGCACTCCCTTCCGGCGCCGGAGAGCGAAGATGTCCAACCCCGTCTCTCGCCGCTCATCACCCTCTTTGTCGCGCACGCCCTGCGAGCCCAGGCCCACCCGTCAAACTTCCTCTTCCCTCTCTCCTCCCGCTTCCTTCTTCAGCGCCCCACTCTCGACGTCGCTGACGTGCCGCTCCTTTACGGCATGCTTTACGCGGCGGGCGATGGGGCGCGCCGCGAGCGTGCGTGGATCGTAAGGTTGTTGCGCGATGGTGTGCGCTCAAATCGTGATGCCTCAATTCTTGCACGCCGCAACACGTACGCGCTTCTCTGTTCGCTCTTCCAGAGCAGCCTTGACGCGCCATTCCGGCGTGCCGTTCTCGCTGCCCTGAGAAGCTTAGCGCGCACCAGCACTGGCGCGCGTGCACTCCTTCGCGCCTCCCTAGCTCCATGGATTCGTGTGCAATGGGAGGACGCAGGCAATCATCCAGCTGCTGAGGAGGTCCGCGACGCCCTCCTTGGCCTGTTGGACGACGCGGTGGCCGCTGCCGGCACCGAGAGGGCAGCTTGGTCTGGAGAGGTCGCCGCCCTTATCGCCACGGTCGCGAGCGCCGAGCGCTTGGTTCCCGCTGCGACACTAGCGTTCCGCCTCGCCCGCGCCGATGCCAGCACGGTATTCACCACGCTCCCACCGCTCGTGAAGCTCGGCGAGGACGAGCGCGCAACGGAGCTGCTCTTCCGCACATCCCTTCTCACCCCGGAGGGCGAAGAGAAGCGCCTCGCTCCCACTCTTCATATGTTGGCTGGAAGAGTTGCTCGGATGCAGGGCGGCGTGGGCGCATGGGCTCGTGCCGAAGCCCGTCGCATGTAGATAGTAGATAATTGCATGTACGGGTCTAGATGAATGAGAGCTTGACAGCCGGTAGAGGCGGTACGCCCAGAAGCGAAAGGAGATATATCCTGAGGTTGTCTTCGAGGGCGTCGTCTGGGGCGTTGCCACCCAAGTCTTCTATCCGCTTGCGCAGCTCAAGAGTTTCGAGGGGGTCCACCTCATGTGCGCGTCGAATGTACTGGGGTCAGTAGGCCCGTTGAAGACAACGTACTGGTAGGACGTTGCCCATTGGGAGGAGTTCAGCCTCGCGACCATATTTGGCGATGAGGACGGTGTTCCACATCCTGCCCTTAGCACTCTCCCTGGCTTCACCGGCTGACCCACCTTGCCTGCTCGATTTTCTTTGCCTCCCGGGCTTCGGCTTCGCGCCGCTCTGCGTCTGCCGCTTCAAACTCCGCAATGCGAATCCGCGCAAGCGCAAGCTGCGCCTCCAGGGTTTCGATCCGAGCCGCCACCTCGTGGTCGAGCGGCTCCGGGCTCCGCGCCATGCGGTAGTCCGGGGGCCCGAAGCGGCCGAGGTCGTAGCCGCCCTCGCTCCCACGCTCGCTAATGCTCAAGCTCATGGCGTGGGTGCGTGGACCGCGTGGGCCGGACGACGGTGGGCGGGCATGGCGCTGCGAGGTGAACGACATCCTTTGGGTTTGCGGGAGTTGCGGGAGATGTGAGGAAAAGCGATATGGGAATGTTGCGTGTGAGTTTGTTTGTGTGGTTTCAGCTGGGTCTGTGCGTGCATCTCAACGGCCGGGGTTGTGGAGGTTGGGCGAGGTCAGTGCGTCACATGCGAGAGAGATTGATTTGCATACGGCAAGGATATTCAAGATTCTGTTATTATGTGGACTGAGGAGCTGTCTCTCAGGACTGGGCTTGCCTGTTCTCAGTCTCGAGGCCTGCTTTCCACTCCGCGAGTTTGAGGAGGCTACGGTCGCCGACTGTCTTGAGGGGGCCATAATGACTTTTTACGACACCGGCCTCAAAGACCAGGACAACCAGCAAGGCCGCAGTTGAAGCCCAGGCGGAGGCGAGGACAAGGGCACTGGGGTAAGCGCGAGCTCGGGTAGGCTTTACCGATGATCGTGCTGGAGGAGGACGGTGGCAAGGATAGAGACGAGAAGCCCAGCATCGAAAAGGAAGCCGAGGGCCGTCAGCTCGGCGTTGACCTTGTGCCACGAAGCGAGGCCTGACACCCAGTGACCCGCCACATGGAGGGCCAGGTAGAGGAGAAGGATGGCGAACCAGGCCAGAAGGGCCTCCGCAACTGCTGTCAACAGGGCCTTACGCATACCCACCCCAAGTGTTGTGCGATTCGGCAAGCAGCGCAAGGCCCCCCGTCGCGAACAGTGCCACACCGGCGAGGAGGACCGTCTGGGTGATCATGAATCCTGAGCCGTTCTCCACGGGCGGCGGGGCGGGCAGCTCGGGCGCGCCAGCGAGGTCGGCGAACGTTGTGTTAGTCTTGAGAGTGTCCCACCCGCCGTACAAGCAGAGGTAGGTGGTCTCGAAGGCGAAGGCGCTGAACATGGCGCCAAGGCACACCCAAAGAAAGATGTGCTCGACAGGCGAAGGGATGCGCAGCATCATATGAGCCTCCTCGACACCGTGGATCACGCAGATAAAGAGCATCATCAGGTCGGCGCGGACCGTGCGGACCCAAATTGCGCGGCGCGTGATACGCGCAATCAAGCTTTTGTCAGCTGGGTATATATAAGCAGGGCGACCTACGTGACCAGGCCGTAGACGAGAATAAGGCCGAAGACCCATGCCGTCCAGAATATCTGGTCGCGCTTGATTCCGTCCGCGGGATCATTCGAGACCGAGGGGAGAAGCGCAAGCGTCGTCACTACTGATTGGCCTGCTTCTACCCCACCAAGAGCCAGAAAGGCGGCCTGGATCGCGCTAGCGGGCGAAAAGCTATGTCCAACTTGATTCTCAAGCTGCAGGCGCCCTCCTACGTCTGAGGCGATCTTGTCGCCAATGGCGGGATGACCATAGTTTTCAGCCACGAACACGAGGTAAAACACCATGGCTGAGAGAAGGAAGTTGGCGCTGAGCCACCCGAATAGGTTGCCTTCGCGATTAATGCTGCGTAAGCTGTATTCATGCTTGACTCACTCTGGGGCTAGGATGCTTGAGATAGTGGCGACTGTGTAGCCTGAGACGATGAACAGTAGGAGAGAGCGAAGGTGCGTCGTAAGAGTAATGCGTGAGAGGCCTGTCACCGCCCTGCTGTTAATGTGGCAAAATAGGGACGAACTGGAAGAACGCGTAGATTCCAAGGATGGTATCCCAAACGATCAGCGTAGCAATCGCCATGTGTGGCCGGGTCATCTCCCATCCGCCCCGTTTGAGAACGAGGAGGGAGAGGATTTCTGAGATAAGGGCGACGGCGCTCACACCGAAGAGAATAACAGCTTGGGCTGTGCTTGCGGACGACATGATTTGATGGATCTGCGAGACAGCTTCGAAGTGCTCCACACTTGGCCTTTTATCTCAAACCCGCACAGCACGGCAAGCGCGCTTCATGTTGCATCTCCTGCGTTGACATGCACGGAGCAGTCAAGCAACCAATACCCCTCAACGCCAAGTCGGACCGCCATTAACACGAGCTTCACGCGGAGCATTGTTCGTCCGCAGAGGTGATTGCCCTCCGTGTCGATCAAGCAGCTGATTCGGTTGAGAGTGGCGCCACATCGGAATGCTCGGAAGTTCGAAAGGCAGCTGGCTCCGCTCGGTTCCGGATGGGCGGCGCAAGGGCGCCGTGATGGGCGCCAAGTGCCTGTTTCGTCAGCGTTTACGGGCAGTCACGCCCTCCGTCCCAGCGATCACACTACACGCGCGGCCTATCTTCGGCGCGCGCTTTACAGTGAGTGTTTCGCGTGGGCGGTGTCCTATCGCCGTGCGCGGTCTTGCCGTGCCGCCTCGCATGCTTAAACTCATGCACGCCTCGCCTACTGCCATCCCGCAAGCCAGCCAGCTGACCTGTATGGAACATTTATCACATGACGCCACGGCCTAGATTTGAGAGGCTTCCAGGCCACTGCGTCCGACTGGTCGACGCCTTGGAACGTATCTGCCGACAGAGCACGCTCAGCAGCTCCCCCTGCTCGTCTCTTTCCAACCTCTTGCCATCGTTCGCTCCAAGTTGGGCTTGCTAGGTCCATTCACATGGCCGTCTTCGTTTCCTACCGGACATCATCTTCATCCACTCGACGCTCTAGCCCCAGAGCACACTTCTGGATGTTGCACGGGGTACGCTTTGCGTATTCACACACACGAACTAAGCTCTAAGCCTATTGCTGGGTGGGTCGCTGCATAGACCAACTCCCCGGCGGTCAACAAGAGCGCCCGCCTGAAACCACTCACGACTGGCTCACTCCTGCTCCGTTGCCGCCTCGCAACCACCTAACTTGCTGTTCACCTTGGAGACTGTTCGGCACAAGTCTGCTGACCATCCATGAACGTAGTGGTTTGGACTCTGTACGGCTGGTTTCTTCTAAGCAGTCAGGGTAGGGCACGTGGTGAGCCAATGGATGTGCAAACAACGTGATGGCTGGCACATTGCAAGCCTTGGTCAGATGAATTCCATCAATCTGTGGCTGCGGCAGGGCTTTACGGCCTTGCGAGATGACAGGCGGTACGCCCACAACAACTTTCAGCATGCAGAGGGGCAGAACTGTGCAACCAAGTAAGGCAGGCGCGGGTGCCAGCTGCTGGGGCTGAGGGACACCTCGTTCGAGCAACTGGCAATGTTTAGAAAGGAGTATTTCAGGGAAAGAGCGGCGCTCCCATGATGCTAAACAAACCTTGCTACATTGTACCCCTCTGCCCTCTGTTCCACTGCGCGGCATGCGCGGGGTGAGGCCGGTGAGGAGGGTTGGCTGGACATGGCAAGTGGGTGACGAGCCAGGCCAAACAATCCCAGGGTCGATTTTGTCATGCCGATAACCCAATCAGAGCCCAGGAAGGGCGCGACTGCTTTCTCCTGTGAGATTGTGCACACAACACGCCCATCCACCGAGATCCCCTCCCCCGCCTCATCTCCTCATCCCACATCTCACCACATCAACATCAACACTCCACCATCTTACACACTCGCACACCCACATCTCTGGCTTACATTACCATTTATCTTACTCTCCTCCCCAACAACTGCACAGGCGCCGCTCACTCTCATCACTCCGGGCCTCCGGAGTGTCGATCAACAAGGCCCGGCGCACGGTCATGCATTCGTCCCAGCCACAGAGGCTTTTCGGCCTGGGTGTGAGCCCAGGTTACGGCTCGCCGAATCGAAAGTCAGCACCGGCACCGCTGTCGCCCACCCCTCGCGCGCCCTTTGCGTCAGAGACGGATGACTCAAACCCCCCATCCCCAGCACCTTATGACACCCCGGGACGGTTCCGGATCACGAACCCGGATCCACCTGCCGAGGAGGACGGGAAGGCTCTTAACAATCTGCAGGCTCAGGCTTCACGCTCATTTGCACTCAAGCCGACCCACACCGCGCGGCCAGTAAGCAGCGCGTTCGCAGCAATCAACTCCACTCTGGCCCCACATTCGCCCCAAGCGCCCAGCGACCCGTTCTCCAAGCCGCTTGCCACACTTGACAACAACGACCCCAACTTCTCTCAGCCTGGCCAGAACTCGACACCAGACAAGCTCCTCCCAAACAACGGCAATGGGGCGATCGTGTCGTCCCGCCAAACCCGCCCCTCAAAGAGCTCAGAGTTCCTCCGCCGCCTCCGCAGCGGTAGCGAGCCGCCGTCCAACACCACCCCGTATCAGGCCCTCTCCGACGATGAAGATGAGGATGAGCGCCTCCGTCTCCCTCGGAACACGCTTCGTGCCACCAATTCGCATGCTCGAACTATAGAGCCTCAGAGCCGCTGGTCGGACTCGACGGGTTCCCACGCTAGCCAGTTCCCCCTCCCGCCTCACCGAACTCCCGGGTCCTCAGCCGAAAACTCGGGCTCAGCGGAGACATACGCAACCGCGAAGAACGGTCGACCCAATTCCAACGCTTCTGCCGAGAGTCAGAAGCCTGCTAGGCCACGCAGTCAACCGTGGCCGATGGCCGCCAAGGCTGGTCCCGCGGCTCCGACCACATCCACCGCGCTCGGCGCGCACAGTCAAAACGCTGCACTTCTCGCCGCTGAAACGGGCGGCATGGTTGTGCTCGACAACGCATCTCGTCGGTACTCTCCCGGCGAGGGCCCAGGACAGGTCGTCAGCCAAATGCCCAACTATGCTCAAGTGCCTTCCGCTAGCCGTCATGCTCATCGCAAGTCTACCGGTGATATCAACTTCCGCTACCAGACCATCCTCGAGGAATCGCCCCGGCCGCCCGACTTTTCGCAGGCACGCTTGCCCATTACTCCTCCATCCTCAGACGATGGCGCGGACCTGCGCCGTCGCGGTCATGTGCGTGCCAACTCCGACGGCATCGCTCTGCTCGCTCGACAGGGGACGTTGTTCCACCCAGCCAGCAGTGATGCACGTGCATCTCAGGAGCTCGAGGTGATGCTCGGCAAGCCGAAGAGCCGGAGACTCAGCGCCAACGCAGTCCTTCCGGCACCCGAGACACCGAAACAGAGAGAGGTACGCCTCGAGGCGAGCAAGAAAAGCCGCGCCAGGGTTGAACTCGATGTTGTCATCGAGCGTGAGTGCGTTGTCGAGGGCGGCGAGCTCCGTGGCCGTCTTGAAGTTGTGGTCAGAGGTGGCAAGCGTGGAAATGGCCTCCGCGTTGGCGCCGGCAAGCTGCGTGTTCTCGGTTACGAGGAGGTCGTAGAGGGGTCCGGGACAAACCGCCACATCTTCTATCAGCACCAATACCTCCTCCCCGAGTTTTTCGAGCACGACTCCCCGCCAACCACGCTCTTCGCGTCTGGGGCCGACGAGGAGGGCTTCCGCCTCGCGCACGAGGGTACCCACGCCCTCCCTTTCAGCATGCAGCTTCCCCTTGGTGGCGGTGCCAAGGGCGCGTTCACGGGCGACAAAAGCAAAGGACCAAACATTCGCTACGTCGTGGTCGGAAGCGTCAAACTCCACATCCCGAAGAGCGGCAAGCGAGCCATAGCTCACTTCTACCGCCCCATGGTTCTCCTCCCGTACCACAACCCGGCGCGTGTACTCGCGCCTTCCCGCCAGCCTCTTGTTGAATTCATCGAGTCCAGGCTGGGTTGGAGCCTCACGGGCGAGAAGGGCAAGGTGTTCCTTCAGGTCTCGCTGGGTCGGCAGACGTGGGTGGCAGGGCAGAGGGTGTGGTGCGAGGTTGGCGTGCGCAACAATTCGAACAAAAAGATTACGCGGTGCTCGCTCGCCATCTTGCAGACTGTTAATACCTTCGGCGTGCCAAAGGTCAAGGGTACGCAGGATTTTCTGAACATGATCCGCCGCAAAGTGTCGGAGGAGACGAACGAGGCCGATTTCATGGACGTCGGGAGTGGGCACGTAACGTCCAAGAGCTGGTGGACGGGTCTCGAGCCTGGCGAGTCGAACCGTTGGGATATGAGTGTGCCTATTCCGGTAAGCTTTTCAAAGATGCACTCGCTGACAACAGACGGGCATGATCTCCATCCCGCGGTCCAAACTCGTCGAGATTTCCTACGTGCTGCGCGTTACGCTGAACAACTCGATTTTTGTTGACGTACCAATCGAGCTCATCAACTTCCTGTCTGTGGACCCGCCCCCCATGCCCAGCGATGCACGTCGCGCTCGTGTCCGCATGGCAGTTGCAGGGCCGGCAGGCGCTCTTAGATCCGGCGTAGCGTCCACGCTGTTCCCGCCAGTGCCGGAGACCCCACCGCTCCTCATGCAGGCATCATCCCAGCAGCCGCAGCCTCGCGAGCTCCAGTCACACCAGGATGCTCCTCCCACACGCCTTCCTGGTGTGCCTGAGGATGGCGGCTTTGGATACACGTTCGAGCAGCTCAAGGGGGAGCCCCAAGGCAACCAGCCCATTGCTCGTAGTTCGTCCACCACCCTCGACATTGAGGCCCTCGTCGCTCAGGGGCGCGCCCGGTCTGGGGCGGAGTATGCTAGCTCTAGCGGCGACTCCATGCACTCGACTGGGCACCTTCGTGTCCCAGACGAGCACAACACCGACATGATGCCCCGCCCCATCTCGCCCATGTCGAAATATTCTAGCGTGGGCACTGCGGTTCCCGGCTCGGCAATGTCGACGATTCGTGGCCGCCGTGGGTCCAACGCGTCCGAGACCGAGTCAATCGACGAGGAGGAGCGTAATCGCCTCGTTGTCGAGGGTCACCGCCGCGATGGGCGCGTACACGCGCTTGCTGTCATCGGGAATGGTACATCCGAACACTTGGACGCAGCAACCGAAGGTGATGTCCGCGACGACGCAAGTGTCATCCATTCGAGCTTGGAGCCTCACGAGGTCCAGACCTACCGTCCCGCTGAGGAGCCCAACGGTCCGCGATACGAATTCGACACCGCGTCGATCTACTCTCAGGCGGATGGTCTTGAGCGTAGTGGCGCACCCACCCCGCACATAGAACAGACCGAGAGCCTGGCTGACACCGATAACGAGCAGACTCCGATGGGCTCACCAACCGGGTCGCCCGTCACATCACCCGTTGTTCACCCCATCTCCAAGTTCTTGCACCACATCAGTGAAGAGGAGGAGCCACTCACGGATGACATGCTTGACGACATGGTGAGCCTGGACGGAGGTGTTGCCGGCGGATATCTTCAAGGGAGCGGCGGAAGTGGAGACGACGACGACGATGACCTTGTTGCCGCCGACATCTCAGGCGAGGATGTGACTCCGAGGGGTTCCGCATTCGGACGCGCAAGCCTCGAGCAGCGTCTCGCGCTTGCGTGCGGTGGCGGCGCGATTGTCACGAAAGCTCAGACAGCGGTCGCAGCTGAGGCGCGCGAGTTCTCGCCCCAGCTTAACAAGCGTGGCGATTTCTCCCCAGTGCCACTGCAGCAGGAGTTCGGCGCTCGCCCAGACAGTATTGATTATGCCATGCCCCTCGAGATCGGCGACCTCAGCATTACTAGCAAGGCCAGCACCGAGCCGGATGACGGGTATGATGCTACGAGCGAGCACAGTTCCACTGTCTCGCGTTCTCCGCGAGGTCATCGCTCGACCCACTCCCTACCTGGTGGCTGGAGCCCGCACCCAAGCACCTACGCTGAGGCGCCCATGCTCCCGCCTCCATCGAGTGCACGCGACATCAGCTGGGGTGGCAATCTCGCCGGTCGCACCGTTTCCGGCCACACGGCTATGATCTCGCTCGATGACTCGCCTGTGACGCCAGCCTCCGCTACCTTCACCCCTGCCTCGGCGACCTTCGGTACGCCTGGCCCATCGCCTCGTTCAGCAACTTTTGGCACGCAGATACCTTACCCTCCTCCGCCCCAGGAGTACGAACGGGACAGGGAGGGGTCGTCCACACCCAACGGCAGACAGGCAGCATTGTTCGCCGCAACTGCTGGCCTAACTCACGAGGACCTTTCTGACGAGGACCTGGAGCCTCCCAACATCCTGCGCCGCGTCGACACCGGCGGAGCGGACAGCTTCCATACCGCCCAGAGTGATGGCGAAGATATCCCTCAACTTAAGCGCTCGTCGGACAGCGACAGTTCCGATGACCTGCTTGAGTCTCCGCCCATTGTCAACCAGCCGCTGTATACAACGCCCCTCCCAGCGCCGCCTGGCCCTTCGCCGCGCACATCGCGCATCATTCCTGACCGCTTCCGACCAACGCAGACAGCCCCACCTCCGCCGCCCATGAGCGAGGAGTCGCACATCTCGACGGCCTCCAGCTCCCACGAGAGCGGCATCCTTCCGGCCGTCAAGGCTAGAGTGGCTCAGTTCGAGCACCGCGAGGAGGCGCTGCGACGTTTCACTGTCAACAGCAGCGCAGGCCTGCAGTCCCCTACTACCGGCCTTGCACCCCTCAGTCCCGCCCACACTAGCTCGGGATCTTCGGGCTCCCACGGCAATCACGGGTACACCTCCTCGCCCTCGGGCCGTCGCTCGTACACATCAGCTCTTGGCTCTCGCGTGCCTGGTGGGTTTGGCAGCCCGCGCAGCCAGGCGAGTTTCAACCTCGAGACGCCACAGACGGCAGCTGGGGAGTTCGTTCCCGCCCAGTTCACGGGGACTACGTCGAGCATCTCCTCCGTGCGCCAGACATGGCACATGCGTGAGCAGGAGGATAACGCGAAGGGCCTTCTCCGCCAGCTCTCGAACGCATCGAATAGCACAACCGCGACCGACATTGAGCGCGTCCTTACCCGTTCACCAGTGACTACGCCGCGCGGCCCGCGCCCGCCATCGCACAAGGCAGCCATATTCTCCAGCATTTCGTCGCGCGACAACCGTGAGTCAGGCAGCACGCTGAGCATGGACGCGAGCGACCTTGGCCCGCCCATCCACCCTCCAACGTACCGTGGCTCGCCGGCGCTTACGCCGACGCGCGAGAAGGTCTTCCTTCCTGAAGTCATGAGCGAGACCGCATCTCTTGCCGAGGTGCAGAGTTACGACAGCCACCGCGCACACAGCGAGGAGGGCGTGTCGTCTAGCTCCGAGTTTGGGACCACTCACTGGACGGGTGGACCGGCGCGCCTCCCACCCCTCCGGCAAGCGCGGCAGCCTTTGCCCATGCCTGCGTTTGGGCCCAATGGACCAAGCCAGGGGTACGGTGTGTGATATGAGGAGCAGAGATTAGGCGGCCCCGACGTCGATGGCGTCAGCACTGTATAAGCGCGCTTTGTAGCCGGCCCCCTCGCAGGGGACACTCCGCGTAAGATAGATATGTTTGATAGTTATGTATGATTTTGCGAAGTATTGCCGTGGCTAAGATGGGTGAGGGTCAGTACGAGCGCAGAGAAGAGGTCTCAGCTTGGAGGCTATGTGGCAAAATGACAGCTCGAAACCGACAAGCAGGATGCTGAAACATGCAACTCCCAAGTCCAAGCGAGGTCACAGGGACGTGGAAGGCGAGGAAAAGGACAGAGCAAGCAGGGAGACGTGTGGGATGCACTGCTGGGATCGGGAGCCTGAGGGGTATGTCGACGCAGAGGGAGTTTGTGATTCTTGGTCTCAGTCTCTCGGTACAACACTCGATCACCCGGCTGAGCGATGCGGCTCACGTTCAACAAGCGTCAGAGATTGCGATTAACACCTCGGCGACAATGCGCGTTCCCCAACCACGGTCGGCGGTTCTCCAAGCCGGCGGTACCTCGCCATTCCAATAAACCATTCAAAATTGTCCCAAACAATGTCATGCCGTCCACGGCGGCCGATGCAACCACCATGCCGCGCTCATCCACGTATCCCCAACCCCATACCACATTCGCGATCCTCGCTACGGCCCGAGCTGGCCGGGGATGCGGGGTCGCGGGTCGCACCCACGCTCTCGGGCTCGTTACCACCGAGAAGGGATAGGGGCCCAGACATGCCCCGCCCGTATATCCCGACATCCGGGCCTGGCACCTCCACTCCGAGCTCCGCCCGTCCGGACGGCGCTTGATGATTATCGGCACTACGCGTCCACTTTTCTCGCTTGCACATCGGCGTTGCGGCGCCCTTCACCTACCTGGTTACCTGACGGCCTGTAAGCAGCAGGAGCTCCGCATGCATTAGCCGGCCCCATTGTTCCCCGCGTCGCCTCCTACTGCCCCACCACCCCCACCACGCCTCGGCGCCGGAGCCCGTCCCCCGCCCCCACTTGTCGGTCCGGCATGCCAATGGTGTGATTGCGATCAGCAATCGAGGTGGGCAGCAACACTAATCTTTGTGCTTGGCATCATGTCGTAAGCATGTAGTCACCGGTGTTGGCGGACTTATTCGCCAGATTAAGAGCAGGGACGCTGGGGGTTGTGGATAATTGTGGTAGTTGACGGGGCTGCGACCGTGCAGACCTCTGTCAGTATCAGCTTGACATGCTGCCGCCGGAATCTGAGGGAATCTGAAGCAAGGGGCTCGTGCAGCGTCAGTGGCGATGTGTGGCGGCTTGGCGAGGTAGGAATTTTATCAGGCATTAGGTGAGGGTGAGCTCGTTACGAGATTGATGTGATGGCAGGCAACTCATGCCATCTGACCAAGCGAGCGGGCGGCCTTCGCTGGATCCCCGCCGCATCAACCCAGGAACAAGAGGCAGGAACGTGTCGTGCGACGGGCTCGACCGCACGACGGAGATGAGCGCTGGTACGGTTCTGCCTGCTTTGCGTTGCCAGCTGGCCAGCTCCAGCCCGATCCGGATGCGGACTCAGGGCCGAGAACAAGCTCAGCCCCGGTTCGAGGCGCGGGTGTCAGGAGCCTGCCGCAGGCAGTCCTCCACCATACCTCCTAGGGCGGCCTTCCCGGGGTCTGGATAATTTCCGTATGATGTGAGAACGCGAGAGCAGCGCGTAAGCAGAGACTGCAACTGCGGATGGGTCGTCGTAAGCTAGATCAAGGGACGGATCTGCAGGGACGCCTGGTGCTGCTCCTGCGATCCTGTAGCCCATGTGGTGCAGCTCAAGTTCATAAAGAGCGCTCTGCCAGATTTCCGCTTCTCCACGCAACAGACGTGCCCCGCACGCTTAACCACTCATCGTCCACTCCTCTCCGTCTCGACTCAGCCCCTCTCCCCGACTGTATAAGCCACGCCCCCAGTTCACAGGTTGACACTTTTTTCCTACCCCACACTCGCTCCCCACACAACTCTCACTTTCACCCTCATCCTCACTCTCACTTTTCCATTCCGTTTCCTGTCTCAGTTCTCGACGCAGCAATGTCCGCCGAGAAGTTTGGCTTCGCAGACAAGGGCCACTCGGGCTCCGACGTTGGCAAGACCGCCCCGACCTACGACGCCGAGGTGACGCCCGCAGGCGACCAGACCGTGCACGATGCCGTCTTCGGTGAACTCGAAGAGGGAGGTCCCGACTACCGTGGTGTGAGTTGAGCGTGGTCCGGCGCGGCGACGAGGCGCGCGCTGTGGCGAGCAAGTGCCCAGTTTTGCGGTTCGCGCTGTGGCTGTCGGCGTCCAGCCTGTCATCAAAACTGACTCCAGGTCGGCTCCGTGGGCGGCTTCATTCTCATGACCAAGGCCAACCTTGGTCTCGGTGTGCTCGCGCTCCCCTCCGTCTTTGGCGTCCTCGGCCTTGTACCCGGCATCATCATCATTCTCATCATCCAGTCCATGATTGCTTGTGAGTCAGCAGTTGGCTTGGCGAGTTGGGGCTGGTCATACGCACTGAGTTGTCGCCTGACCTGCACTCCCGGAGTCGAATTCATTCCGATCCGGTCCCGTTCGCTTGCCGCCTCCACTTGATTTTTTTTCCAGGGATTCCCGCTCACGTGTCCAGACTGTGGCCTCGCCATCGGTACCTTCAAGGTCAACCACCCCGAGGTTTACGGTCTCGCCGACGCCGGCCGCGTCTTCGGCGGCCGTCTCGGTGGCGAATTCTTTTACGTTACCTTCCAGATTTGTGAGTCCGACTCGATGCTGGCCTGTGCGGGCGAGATGGGTCGGGAGAGCACGGCAGACGTAAGCAGCCCGCAGACGCAGGAGGCCGACAGGGAGGTTATTTGGCGTCATCCGAAAATCTCTGCCAAGCCTCCGACGCCATCTGATCTGCGTCACCCGCGGGCCGTGCCCCCTTATCGACTGCGCCCGTGCAGGGTGTGCTTGTGGATCCACGGATCTGTGGATCTGTGGCTTGTGTGGATCTGTGGAGCGGCCGCTGACCCCAGTCATGCTCTTCATCATCGGCTCGGCCCTCGTCGGTATCTCGACTTCGCTGAATGCCGTCTCGACGCACGGCACGTGCACGGCCGTGTTTGTCGCCGTCGCCGCCGTCGCGGGCTTCCTCTTCGGCTCGATCCGCACCCTCTCCAAAGTCACTTGGATTGGCTGGGTCGGCCTCTTCTCCATCATGGCGTCCATCCTCACCCTCACCATCGCTGTCGGTGTCCAGGACCGCCCGAGTGACGCGCCCAAGACCGGCCCCTGGGACAAGAAGGTCCAGATCTTCGGCAACCCCACCTTTGCTCAGGCCATGAGCGCGATCAACGGCATCGTCTTCTCGTACGGCGCTACCCCCATGTAGTGAGTACCCCAGATGGTGGCTATTCCGAACGACCGCCACCTTACCTGCACCGAGCGCTCGTGAAACGATCGGCGGTGTGGCGGTGTGGCGGATCGGCAGCGGTGGCAAGATGATTGGCGGACCGATGTCATCATCTATCGTCACAGCTGCCCCCAGCTCCAGTACCCCACCATTCCCCTCCATGGCAATGGGCCGTGTTGCAGAACCGCGCTGACAGCAGCTTCGGTATCGTCTCGGAGATGAAGAACCCCCGCGTCTACGCCCGTTCGATGGTCTCTTCCGTCTTCTTCCTCACCATCGTCTACCTCGTCATCGGCTCCGTCGTCTACTCCTTCGCTGGCCAGTACGTTGCCTCGCCTGCTCTTGGCACCGCCGGCGTGCTCCTTAAGAAGGTCTGCTACGGTATTGCCATCCCAGGCCTCCTCGCCTCGCTCACCATCTTCTCCCACCTTGCCGGCAAGAACCTGTTCGTTCGCCTCCTGAAGGGCTCGTACCACCTCAACCACAGCACCAAGACGCACTGGATTACCTGGCTTTCTTGCGTTCTTGGCTCGGTCATTGTCGGCTACATCATTGCCTCGGCCATTCCCATCTTCGGCACCCTAATTTCGCTCATTGGAGCTGTCGTCTGCCCACTGTGAGTTCCTTGCCCTCAAAGTTCTATACAGCCCGTGCTGACCACCAGTGTCTGCTTCATTCCGTACACCATCATGTGGATCCACGACAACTGGCGCCTCTCTGACGTGCGCACGACTAAGCGCCGCATGGGCTTCTACCTCAACATCGTCCTTCTTATCCTCGGCATCTTCCTGCTGGCTGCAGGCACGTACGGCGCCATCGAGGACCTCATCACCGTCACCAAGGGCCCGATTGGCAAGCCTTGGGGCTGCGCAGACAACTCGGGGTCCGTCAAGGAGTAGGGTGACAGATGATATCAGAGGGCGAGGAAGAATCATTAATAGCATATTAGAGTAGGGCACGGGTAACATTGTGCGTGATGCCAGATAGTCTCTGACTTGAATGCTGGTGCGTCTCGGATCTCGGAGGCGATCCACAAGAGTGGGAGTGATACAGCGGGGCATGGATTCCAGAAGGTCGGCACGGCGGGGGTATTTTGGACGAACATCCGGAGCGCCGGAGCCTGACATGACGTGACGCGATGCCCACCACAGTCAGGCTGCCGTCTGTCACCACGACTGCGTTGTGTGTCGGCTTTCTCACTCTCACACGCCATCCCCCACCTCTTATCCTCCTCTTATTATTGCTTTCTCTTCTTTTGCAATGTCTTTCCTCGCTCGCGCCCTCCCAGCAACTCGCACTCTGTGAGCTCCTCCACGCCCCTCCGCAGCACGCACGTCGACGCTGACGCTCTCCTCCGTCTCTCCTCGGGCACTCGGCTTTCGTTATCCGGTCACGGCTACTCACCCTCCTCATATCCCGCTGCGCGCGCTGTCTCATCCTTCATTCATCACTCTTAACAACAGCGCTTTTGCTCCTCGCACCGTCACCCGCTCTACTCGCATCCCCCAGTACAGTGAGTCATCCCAACTTGCTCATCCCGTCTCCCTCTCTTTCCCCTCACATGCTCTCCCTCTCCTGCCTTCCTATCACATCTGCTTACTCCAGCAATGGCTGCCCGCTCGCTCCAGACTGCCGCCCAGGTCAAGCCTGGGGACAAGGTCCCCTCTGTCGAGATCAAGGTCGACGCTATGGACAAGCGTGTCGACTTCTCGTCGCTCAAGGGCAAGAACATCATCGTGACCGTTCCCGGGGCGTGAGTAGCCTTGAGGCTGGCTTGAGAACTGTGTTTGACAAGGAAGGGGTGTGGGAGCAAACACGGCGCCCCCCTTCCTTCACTCTCCAGTACAGCTTCACTGACGCCAGCTTCACCCCCACTTGCTCGTCGCAGGTCCCCGGCTTCATTGCCGACGCCGACAAGTTCGCCGCCAAGGGTGTCAACGGCATCTATGTCGTCTCGGTCAACGACCTCTTCGTCGTTAACGCGTGGAAGAAGAGCATGGGCGCCCCGGACTCTGTCAAGTTTGGTGAGTGAAGCAGGAGCGGGGCGTCACAGGTCGGGGTTATGACACCGCTGCGTCCGTTGCGGGCGGTGCCAGGTTCAGCGGCTGCAATCAATGCAGACACAGCTTCAGACGGCTCTCAGTATCTCTGTCCTTCACCTATGCTCACACTCAGCCGCCGATGACAAGTCGGAGCTCGCCCACGCTCTCGGCACTGTTCTCGACGCGACTGCTGGCCTCGGCGGCCTCCGCTTCAAGCGCACGGTCATCGTCATCGAGGACGGCAAGATCGTCGACGTTGTCGTGGAGGGTGACTCGAGCAAGTGTAAGCTACCCCCAATATGCCCCAGCTGACACCAGCGACCGACACCGCCGCGGACAAGGTCCTTGCCAAGCTCTAAAAGTACAACGGTACACAGTTGAAGTTACATCGAGAGAGGTAGCCCAAGATATGAAAACAGAACAAGAAATATGATGCAGGGGACGGGCGCGATGCGTGAGTCTTGGGAGTGTAGCGTGGTCATCAAGTGAGGTCGCAGGGAGTACAGGGGTGATTAAGTTTGGGCGAGGGCAGCCGGGCGGGCGGCAGAGTTGAGGAAGGGGTGCTCTACCGAGGGGAAATGACCTCGTCCGAGGTTTTGGGCCGTGGGAAGGGCTGACTGAAATGGTACTGACGAGGTCAGTGGCTCTCATGCCCAACTAACCTCGGGCGTGCGGAAGTGGAGATTGGCATTGTGAGCCATGTTGCGATCATCAGAGCTGTGGTCACCTGCTCGACCCGCAGCGTCGCCGACAAAGAACGACTGCTTGAGATCTGGGATCAGCGCAGCCGCACTCATCTGCAGGCGTCTGACTCACCGACCTCCCACCCGCGCTCAGCGTACATGCGCAAGAGGTACTCGAGCATGCCGATGTTGGGCTTGCGATACTTGTCGCGGTCGAGAGCTGCAAAGACTCGGATGGGCACGTCATCGATCTGCGTGAGCAAGCCCTTCTTCCGATCTCCGGCGCCAACCCGTCACTGGATCTCTCGATCTTGCGTCTGGCGATCTCTCGACCCACCTCGTGAGCGATCATGCGAATCTTGTCCTTCCAGTCTCTGAGCATGCGGCCATGCACATTCTGGTTAGTGAGGACGATGACGTGCCGACCCGCAGCGACGTCGGCGCGCAACCGCTTAGGCACGTCGCGGTGCCACCACATCCAGTCGTCTGCGCCGCGTGGAAACTTGTACCCGCTCTTCGGCCGGATGAGTGTGCAGTCGAGGTCGTAGAGGGAGAGAGCGACGCGCTTGCGTCGCCGCGCAAGCGAACTAGACGAGGCGGGGGGAGAGGGGAGGGAGGCAGCGGCGTCGTCGGCGGCGAAGACGTCGTGGTTGTGGAAGTGGAGGAGGCTGGGGGGCCCGTCGCGGCAGAAGACGCCTGCTGCGGGGAAGCCGGGCATGAGGAACGGAAGGGCTGGGGGTGAGAATGGCGCGATCGGACAATGGATAAAGGGGAGACGACTACCTCTTTTGACGACGCGGTCGAGAGCGAGAAGAGAGGAGAAGGGAGTGCGTTGAGTCATGACGAGAGGGTGACGAGGTGTGTGGTGGCCGCGTGAACGTGTTGGATAGTTGTGCACGGACCCACCGTTGTCTCGCGCCGCCCAGCGCCTGGCAAGGTGGTGGCGCCCGGATGTGTTTGTGCCTGTCTCTGCCATCTGCCATCTGCCATCTGCCTGGCTGTATTGCCAAGTTGGACTATTGGACTATTGGACTATTGGCCTCTTGCCTCTTGGGCGCAGGCGCTGCGAAGGTTGACGGCTTGGCTGTGCACATACTTTAAAGGAGAGCTTTGTCGCTAGAGCGCGTTTGCACAGTACAGTAGCTTAGTTGCCTCATAGTTTGCCTCTTCACGTCTATCAGATAATAAATTCAGAGGACAACGGGTAGAGGTATCTCATAGCAAAGCTCAAGGGATCAAGCTGTCATCATTGAACGTTGTCCATATGTCCATGTCTTGTTGTAGTCGGATGCGTGGATTCGGACGTACGACGTGGGCCAAGATTTCCTTGTATCAGATTGTCTCGGAAGCAATTTCACGTGGGCACTATGAGACGCAAGGTTGACCCAAGGCACGCGTTGGTGGAGGGAAGGAATGTCTCTCGGCATTCCCAGCCATGTCCAGATGACGGATGCCCATCCTCGCTACCTCATCGCTTTCGCTCTCTCCAACGCTCCCCCTCTCCTCTCGCCGCTGCACAATCGCTCTCACTTCGCTGCCCGAATCATTTCCACAGCGCCATCGACACGCTCGCCTAGCCGATCACGTAGCAGAGTCAGAGGAGACGCACACATCGTCCGACCGGCCCCCCGCGGCCCGTGCGCGTGTCCTTTCCCCCCTCCGCGCCTTCCCCTCCCTCTCCGCCCCTCCACCAGCCCCCTCCTCCATCACAGACCGTGCTGAACGGACTCGCATCTCTCCCTCACGACCTCGCTATCACAATCACCCCGGTCGCGATGATGCTGTCAGCCATGTCTGTGAGTGAAAACACAAAAATCAAGAACGGTGCGAGAAGAGTCGGTCCAACTGACGTGCAGTTGAGTGTACCACCGGGTGTAGCGGCCCTGATAAAAGGAAGTGGCCGTTACAACCCCCCGCTTTCGCGCATGAGCACCGTCAGCACCGCAAGCACAGAGAGCAGCATCACACTCATCCCTCCCGGCGCGATGTCGACCGCGTCCACCATGACATTGCCCACGTTTGAGGCCGTCTTTCCAAGTAATAACGCGTATGAGCTCGAGCTGACCATAGCCGCCGGTCGCGCAATCTCAAGATTCTCCTTCCCTCGACTCCGCATCGGCCCGCCACCCGTCCCCGATGCAAAACTTTTAACGCGAATCGCCACCCTCGCATATGGCACAGAGGAAGCCACGACCGCCGCGTATGCCGCGGCCATGGTTGGCGTGCGCCGATACGCGGCCGCGTACAAGACATCTGTGCCGCAGCGCTCTGTCGGCAGCGTGACGACAGATGAGAGCGTGTTCGCAGCCCAGGCGGCGTGGACGCGTGGGCTGCACGACACCGCTGTCGCCTCGGCGCGCTGCCTGCTCCGCTGGGTAGAGGCTTCCTCTCCTTCCTCGTCCTCTTCTTCGGCCCAAGAGCTTGAGGCGAGTCGGGAGGATGCGAGAGTGGTACAGAGTGCACTCGAGGATGCGCTCCTCGCCAGTGTGTGCATGTACACAGGCTTCCTCGAGCACGAGACGTTGCCTGCGCCTCTCGACACCGCCGTACAGGACATGGAGGCGAATCTCGCAACAGCAGCTAGCTCCCTCGACGGCCTTGCCACTCTTCTCCGCATAGGTCACTGCGCGGTTCTCCACGTGGAGCGTTACAGGCTCGCCGCCGTCGACCAGGCGACTTTGGTGTACGGATTGTTGCGCAAGTTTGTGCACGCCATTGTGGCCGCGCGCGATCATCAGGAGCGCTGTGGGCGCGACGTGTGGGACGAGGAACGCTTCCGTCGAACAACATGGGACACGACTGTCATCCTTCTCAAGACGCACCTGTTGTTATTCAAACTCTCAGTTGCGATCTCGGGTCTTTTCGTCAACGAGATCAGGAGATACCGTGACTTTTCGCAGGATGAGAACCCTAAGCCATCGCACGCCGACATCCGCAGCGTCGAGTATGGCGGCTGGGCCGACAAGGCGCGCGACTCCTTCTGGGACGTCGTTGATCTCATGCTCTCCGTCGCACAGGAGCACGGCGTTGGCGTGCTGACACGCGTCGAGGAGGTCGCGGAAGAAACGGACGCCGAGGAGTCGGAGGAAGGTGCGAGTGACGAGGAGGTTGAAGAGGGCGAGGAGGGTGACGAAGTCGACGACGAGGAAGAAACGGACATCGATGCCACAGAGGACGAGCCCGAGGGGTTGGACAAGACGCTCCTCGCGCAGCTTCTCCTGTCCTTCATGCGCTTCCGCGAGGTCATGGAGGGCGTGTGGGACAACCACTCATCGGAGCAGTTCGAAGCGTCCTTTGACCGGTTCACGCAGCCGCCAGTATACGAGGAGGAGACGCAGGACGACGGGAGCGTGCGCATGGTGCCGACCGCTGATCGCAACTGGGAAGGGTGGGACAAGCTCGGAGTTGAGCTGTGCCGCGGGATGAGCAAGGCCGAGCTCGCCGAGTTCGAGGAGCACAACCTGGACCCGGGCCTACACAAGCGCTGGCGCGCAAGGCTGCGCAAGGAGTCGCGGCCGCGGCGCTCGCATTCAAGCGAGAAGCGGAGAGCAGACCACAGCGACGAGGACGAGGACGAAGGCGGGCGTGTCAAGCGGCGCAAGAGCTACCGCTAGTAGTGTATCTTCTGGTATTTGTGGGCATATAATGACATCTTTTGTGCCTGGGTAATCGTTGGAATCCACTCCTCGCGCTTTGTAAGAGGGAGGAGGAGGTATGCAAAGCATTTACGAGTTCAAGCAAGGCAAGGTGTATCGTCATTCTTGTGCCACATCGTGCACAACAGTCCGAGTGCCTGAGTCTCCTCAATGAAGTTGCCGCTGGTGCCGGAATCGGCCTCCACCGCAATCGATGGGTTTGAGCGGGATCCATCTAAACCTATTTTTCCGCTTCTTCTACGTGTCACTCCTCAACCTGTCGCGCCTCACCCCCCTCCGCCGCTTCTTCGCCACCATGTCCAGCTCCGGCCACATTGCTGCGTCCGTCGTCGACCGGGTGAGTAGGTTTGGTTTGCACCTCGGACGCGGCCGCCGCGCCGCGGACGCGGAGTCCGCCTCCATTCCCCATCACGTCTGACTTCAGCCCCTCGTCGTCTGCGGCCCCAGCGGCACCGGCAAGTCGACCCTCCTCAAGGCCCTTTTTGCCAAGTACCCCGGCGAGTTCGGCTTCTCGGTGTCGCACACGACGCGTCAGCCGCGCGCCGGCGAGGTCCCGGGGAAGGACTACCACTACGTTTCCAAGGAGGAGTTCATGCGCCGCGTCGAAAACGACGAGTTCCTCGAGTGGGCCCAGTTCGGAGGTAACTGGTGAGTCTGGAAGCGAGGAGGGTCCGGATCGGGGGCTGGGACCGCCGTGTAACGTTAGCCTCGACCTGCTGCTCCCCCCTGCGCTCGCGTCGGCTTTCGCGGTGGTCCCAGCGCTCGCTTAGGCTGGTACGGACGAGCAGGGCGTCAGATATGTGCCACCCGCCGCTGCGCTTGTTTGCCACACCGCTAACACCAGCTACGGCACGACGTTCGCCGCGCTCCGCCAGCTCTCGCCGCTCCGCTGCGTCCTCGATATCGACCTGCAGGGTGTCAAACAGCTGCAGGTCAAGGCGCCGAGCCAGAACCTCGAGCCCGTGTTCCTGTTCCTGTCGCCGCCGTCGGTGCCCGAGTTGCGCGAGCGCCTCGTCGGCCGCGGCACCGAGACGGACGACAGCCTGCGCAAGCGCTTGGACGCTGCTGTCGCGGAGATCGAGCACGCGATCACCGGCGCGCACGACATCGTCATCGTGAACGACGACGTCGAGCGTGCCGGCCAGGCGCTCGAGGCTATCGCGCTCGGCACACCGGGGTGGGAGAAGATCGGGGACAAGCTGCCTGCGCTGGACGTCGCCCAGCTCCGCGGTTAATAGACTAGATATGGACGCTTGCTTCGGGAACTTGATAAGGGCGCAGGAGCAAAGAATGCCTGATAATGATACATTGCAGATTGCGTATGGCATACACGCGCAGCAACACTAGCGCGGCGCGGGGAAGGGCACGTCGGCGTCCCGCCCCCCAAACTCGAGCGGGGGCACGTCGGCCTTTCCGAGCTCTGGCGCGGCGTCCGCCTCCTCCTCCATCTCGCGCTGCGCCTCAATTGCGTCGTCGTCTGAGTCCCCGTGGTGGTCGAGGTACGCGTCTTCGCGGTCGTTCCGCGGGTGCGGCCCGAACGGGTTGGCCTTGCGCGCCGCCGCGGCGTCCATGCCCATGTCGCGCATCATGCGCTCGAGATGCGCCGCCTTGGCCGCCTCGGCCTTCTCCTCCTTGTCCGCCTTCAGCCGCTCCAGCTCGGGCCGGTAGTCCCTGCCGTCAGCGTTAGCGTCCGCGGCGACTTACGTGAGATACTCTTGCCGGCACTCCTCGACGGCGGTGAAGAAGTCCTTGATCCCCGCGCCCGTCATGGCGCTCACGCCGACCGCGCGCAGGTTGTTGTAGAACTCCTCGAGCACGAGACACATGCTCCCCATCAACGAGTTCATGTAGTTCTCGCCGTTCTCGTCGCGCCCCCGCTCCTCGAGCGCCGTTTGGAACGCCTCAAAGTCCTTCATCCAGTCGATGGCGAAGTCGTGCGGCTCAACATCGATTTTGTTGAACACGAGGATGAACGGCAAACGGGTTTTATACAGGATCCTGGAGTGAGCTTACGGCGCAGGGGGTACTCACGAGCATGCGTACAGCATGTTGCTCATGAACGTCGCGGGGGCGGTGGTGCGCGGCGTGTCAATTACATACGCCACGCATGTCGGCAAGCTCGAGGCGATGGCATCTGTGATGATCGCGCCGGACGCGGACCACGTGAAGATCTCGATCTGGCCGGGCGTGTCGACGAGGACGTAGCTGGTGTTAGCGGTTGCGCACCGTTGCGCGCGGACTCACTCGACAGTCTCCGCACGCTTCTCGACGAAGCCCAGCACCTGGTCGAACTTCGTCGTGAAGAGATTGAGCGCCGTCATGATCCCACCGTTCGGCCCGAGGTTGTACTGCTTCATCACCTCCTTGTAGTCTACCGTGTCCCGGATATCAATGTTGGCCGCGTAGGGCATGTGGCTGACGGCCGGGTCGAGGTTGAGAATGTAGGGCGGCTGATCTTTGCTGTGGAGGTACGAGTTGAGGCGCTGCATGAGGGTGGTTTTGCCCTGGGGTGAGCGAGACGGTCGGGGGCCGACCACATATGTCCTCGGAAGAACACCAGAGGTCGGGAGGACAATAGCTGGACGAAAGCGCGGCGGGAACGCCGCAGAACAACGACGAGGCAACGACAGGCGGTCCGACCAGCATCAGCCGAGCTCACTCACTGATCCAGCCATGCCGATCACGAGGATCACAACCGGCTCCTTCTCCTTCTGTCCCGCCGGCGCGGTTGAGGTCGACGCTGCTGGCTGCGCTGCTGCTTCGGCCATGATTGTTATGGATTATGGTGTTATGGGTGGCGGTGAATTATCGTGAGCGTCATCGCTGACCGAACATTTGAGCACGACCTCCACCCGTCCACTTCAACTTCTGCAACACTTTATTCGGGAGCCCGATAGAGTAGTGTGGAATTGTGGAATGGATGCCGGGCATCACGGCAGTGCTATTCCAAGTCCCAATCGGCTCTCGCCTGAATCGCCTGCGGCCTCCACCTGTCCACATGCGGGCTGCGGCGTCAGCCAACTCGTCCTCGTAGTCCTTCATCTCTCTTGCCTATCATCATGGCGGGTCGCATGGCAGCCTCCGAGACCGATGTGTAAGCTCGTGCGCCGGCATTCTGACAGCAGCTTCAAAGTCATCGGCATCTTGAACAACCAGCCCGATGTGTTGACGGGTACGTCTCGGCGACCGGCGCTCACCTAACCCCAGCGATTGTCAAGTCGCGTCTCCCCGACGACCCGCGGACCAAGGGCCATCTCGGCGACCTGTACATCATGGACGTGGACACGGACGGGCACTGGGTGCGCCTGGCACTGCGGCCGCCGCCGACGCGTGAAGAGGTCGAGGTCAAGATCCCCTTTGACCCGCCCGTTAAGACCGGGTGGGATGTGCGTCCGCGCCTGTTTGCGTGGCGCGCCGAGGCGCGCAGAAAGTACAATATCGTGCGTGTTATACGGGTACACGGGTAGTGCTCACCCCAGCCTGAGCATCCCACCGTGGATTACTTCAAGCGGCCGCCCATGTTCCCCTTCACACTCCCGCTTGGCGGCAGCTTGCTCGTCCTCCTTGTCCTCTTCTTCGGCGAGGGCAAGAGCCAGCTGATCGACGACGCGCGGCAGTGGATTGGCGAGCGCGCGGGCTTCTCGACCATCACTATCTGCACTTGGTTCGCGGCATTCATGGTGAGTCAGTAGGAGAAGTGACGTCGTCGGGCGAAGCGGACGTGTACCTGACAACAGCACCTCCTTGCCGAGCCCGCGCTCATGATCTGGATGACGGGACGGCACCGAGTCCCGCTAGGCCCGCGGCTCAAGTGGCTCGCGTGGAATGTCGCCATCGGATGGGGAGCGATCGATGAGTTCTTCGAGTGCAGTGAGTCCTGGAAATCGCGTGATCCCAACTAACAGTAGCTCTGTACGAAAAGGTGCGGCATGTGTACAAGCAGACGGATGTGGGCGACATTGGACCCAATGTCAAGGACGCAGTGTCAAAGGAGAAGAAGACGCAGTAGAGAGAGAGAGAGCGCGCGCTTATTGATGTATTGTTGCATCTTGGTCATGTTAGAGGATGGGGGTTGGTTTGACTCGTGGGGTGGGAGCATCTGGGGTAGAGCATTGTGTCACACAACAGTGCGCAAGTAAGAGCGCCTCCTCACACGCGAGCGCTGAGAGCACAAATTTGCAAAGCTCGACCTCTCCAGTCTCCAGCACCACTACCACACGCAACATGACTCGATGCATGCCCGGTCCTCGGACCAGGGTTGCACTACAGATAATATCCCGCCCCATCCGAGGGCGGTGGTGCTGTGTGCGATGCTAAAAGGTTTCGGGTGATGAGGGAGATGAAGGGGTAGGGGAATTGCGCGGAAGTGTGGTTATATTGATGAGATAGTTTGGTTGCTGGTGAGGGGCTGCGTATCAGTTGCCCTCATGCTATGCCGGATCGTTATATAGTCGGGGCCAGGCAGTGTACGTGTTAGATGGTGGGAACGATGCGGCGAGACCATTCAATTCTAGGCCGGCGCACTGACGCGTGCCGGCATGCGGTAGGGTCCAAAAACAAACAGGCGAGAAGACAGTGGGGGAGGTATATTGGCTTAGGCGCCGAAGTTGAAGCCGCCCTGGGGAGCTGCGACGTTGGACTGGAAGGCGTACTGGCCCGACGAGTCGACATCGGGGGCGGCACCCTCGGCCTCCTCCTCATCATCATCGGGGAAGAACTCTGGGCAAGTCAGCACAAGTGAGGCCAAAGAAACTCACTGTCCATGATGTAGAAGCACTTCTTGTAGATCTCGAGGTTCTCGTGGTGCTGGAGGTTGTGGATGGAGATCATGCCACCAGCCTCCTCGATGAACTGGGCATACTGGTTGTAGGCGCCTGCTCCGGCAGCCTCCTTGTCCATCTCACCGACCTTGAGAATGTTCTCGAGACCGTCAAGGGCAACCTGAATGATCTTGTTGTCCATCGACTGGAGAAGATCGCACATGGGCTTGATGCAGCCCTGGCTAACAAGGTAGCGGATCTGCTGGGGCTCCGAGAGACCACCAGAGGTGGCGTTCGAGATGGCCCAGCAAGCCTCCTTGCGAGTCTTGAAGTCGGCGTTGGAGAGGATGTTGATGAGGGGAGGGATGATGTTGGCGTCAATGATTGCCTGGATCTGGTTGGGCGAGCCGGCGGTAATGTTCGAGATGGTCCAGCATGCCTCCTTGCGGATGCCCTCCTTCTGCGACGAGAGGAGGCTGAGGAGCGCGGGGAGCGCACCCGACATGATAACAACCTGAGTCTGGAAGTCGTCGCCAGTGACAATGTTGCCAACCGAGCGCAGTGCGGGAGTCTGCACAGCCGTCGAGGGGTGCATGAGCAGGTCAACGAGGCGACGGCAGACACCCGAGTCGATAACGGCCTGGATCTTGTCGTTGGTGCCGTCCGAAAGATACGAGATGGCCCAGCATGCGTCGATAAGAACCTCATCATCAAGCGAGTAGACGAGCTTGGAGAGGACGGGAAGCGCGGGGGAGATGAGGTCCCAGTTCGGCTGAGGCGACTTGCCACGGCAGAAGTTGGAAAGCGTCCAGGTGGCATTCCGGAGCATCGAGAGCTTGTGGTTCTCATTGAGCAGCTGGAGCAGGGGCTGAAGGGCGCCCTGGCTGAGAACGTGGTCGCGGCACTTGGGGGAATCACCGGCTATGTTACCGAGGGCCCACACGGCCTGCTCGCGGACGTCGGGGACGGGGGAGGAGAGGAGGCGGATGAACAAAGGAACGGCACCGTTGGCGATGACGACCTGAGTGTGCTCCGAGGTGCCCGAGGCAATGTTGGTGAGTGCCCAGGCGGCCTCAAACTGCAGCATAGCGTTGTTGGAGTTGAGGAACTCGACGAAGCGGGGAACGACACCACACTCGATCACACGGTCGATTGGGGGGTTCTTCTCCTTGGAGAGAAGCTTGCGGAACTTGGTGGTCGCCTCAAGCTGGGTCTCCTGGTCGTTCGAGTAGATCTCCTGGAGCATCTGCGGCAGTGTCTCGCCAAACTCGACATTCTCGTCATCCGAGTCGACATCCTCGGCGGTTGGCTGGAAGTTACGGCGCTTGGCGATAGACTCCTCGCGCTGAGATCGTTAGCTCTGCACAGATCTTGCGTTGGCCAGGCGGCCGTGCTCGGTGGGCCCGCGCATCACCCAGACTTCTCGTGCACGCGCGCGAGCGCGCGCATGCAAAACAAGGCGGCCGCGCACGTTGAAGTGGTGGGGGCGAGGGCGAGCCCACGAGTTTCATTGGCCTGCGGGCATCAACATACCTTTTGCCTGCGGATTTCGACCTGCTGCTCTTCGCGACGGCGACGAAGCTGTAAAGTCAGCGCATGGTCGAGGAGTGTGAATTGGCAGTAAAGATGGGTGGCGTGGGAGATGGAGTGTGTGTGCGTTATGGTGGTGGCGAGTAGGAGCAAGGTGTGCTCTAGCCCAGTTGCCCCACTCGGACGACCAAGGGGATGGGATGAATGGTGGGAGGGCGGAGGGAAGGGTCGATGCTCACCTCTGCGGCGGAGAACTGGGTGCGGCCCTTGAAGTTCTGGCGACGGTGGTCGAGGTTGCGGGTCTCCATTGTGAAGTAGTGGTGGGTGCGAGACGCTTTTGGTTGATGAGTGGGAGTGGGGGAGGAGTGGAGGAGATAGGAGAGAGAGGAGAGAGAGAGAGAGAGATGAGTAGAGTTGGTTGAAGAGAAAGAGAGAGATGGAAAGAAGAGAAAGACGAGGCCAGGAGGGAGCGAGCCAAAGGTGGTGCCTTCCTTCCTCCCCCCGTCGACGCTGCGCCCAGGGAGGGAGGAGCCTGTTGTTGTGTGTACGGTGCGACAGAGTGAGTGGGCGGGAGTAAATTCTAGGCTGTCCCGCCCTGGCCGTCGTTCTACTGATGGGAACTCTCCCCAGGTACGCCAAATCCAGGTGGCAAAAATCATTTCCCTCTCCCAATTCGACACTCTGACGACGTCACACAAAAATGCCACTACTAAAGGGTGGAGCGATCAAGTTGTGAATGCAATGATGGAGAGGTGGTGTTATGGTGATGCTGTTAAGAGGGTAGTGTTATGGTGATGCTGATGAGAGGTGATGCGTGATGCGCGGGAGTGGTGGAATGCGCGTCAGGTGGTTATGAGCGATAGCACGATGCAGGAACGTCGTCATACAGGTCCTCGAGTGACCATTTCTTGCGGATAGGCAGGTCGAACGGCTCGCCAACCAGTCCGTCTTGGAGGCGGAGGATGGCCGTCCACGCGATCATCGCAGCGTTGTCTAGACTCAGCAAGGGATGGAGGATGGGAGCCTACCCGTGCAGAGAGATATCGGGGGGTAGTATGTCGGCACTGGCCCAGTGGAGATGCCGTCGCACATGGATTTGAGCCTGCAGTCAGCAGTCTGGCCGACGAGCTTTGAGTTGTCAGACGCAGCTGGTCACTTACTGCTCCCGAAGGTACTTGTTACTGCCGACACCACCGCTCACGACGAGCCCTTTGACGGGGATTCCGAGCGAGTCGATCGCGAGCCGCACCTTGTCTGCAAGGTGTTTCACGGCGGCGGCCTGGAATGCGCGCGACACGGCGCGCTGCACGGCCTCAGACACCTCGCCCTCGCCTTCGCCGTCCCCTACCTCCTTCTTCGCCAGCCGCTCCGTGGCGCTGAGTAGGCCCGAAAACGAGAACGCAAGCACGTCTTTGTTCCGGCCCGCCAGCGGGGGCGGGAGGCGCAACGGCGCCGCATCGTAGGGCGGGAGCGGCGGCCGCGCGGCATACTCCTCCAGCACGGGACCCAAGCCGCCCGTCGGCGAGGGGGGCAGGCGGAGCAGGCGCGCAACTTTGTCGAAAACGTCGCTGGCGTCAGCCTTGCCGCGTGCATGCTCACCCAACAGCATTGTCCGTCGTCGTCATGGCGATGCGGTACTTGTCCATACTCTCGGCGAGCACGAGCTGCGTATGTCCGCCGCTCACGAGGAGCGTGAGGAACGGGAACTGTGGCGGCTCCGGTTCCGTCAGGAGCGCGGTGAGCGCGTGCGCCTGCATGTGGTGCACGCCGGCCAGGGGCTTACCGCTCGCCGCGGCGAGTGCGCGTGCAGCCGTCGTGCACACGGATAGACAGCCGAACATCCCAGGTCCGCGAGTATATGCGACCGCGTCGATGTCCGTGAGGCCGAGCTGGGCTTGGGCTAGTGCTTGCGCGATGGCTTTCGGCTGGTGTCAGCGGCCTCCGCTTCAGCTGCTGCTCAATTCCCAACAACTCACCATATCGCGCAGATGCGCTTCGTGCGCGGCAATGGGGTGGATCCCGCCCCACTGCCGGTTTATGTCGTGCTGCTTGCACACAGCAGACGAGAGGATCCGCCGGTCGGAAGTCACAACGGCGGCGCACGCGTCGTCCGCGCTCGACTCGAGCCCAAGAACGCGGAGCGGGCGCTGCGCATTTGGTCGCGCCGTGGCGTGCAGTTGGCGCAGGTGGCACAGCCCGCGCTGTAGCGCGCGTGGGCGTGCGCAGAACATTGTTGTTGGAGAGCTCGAAAGAGTGGAGGCGAAATCACGTGCCTAGACATACCGAGCGAGCCGACGGGAATCGAGGCGACCCGTAGACGCGGAGGCATGTTTCGTATCTCCGTCAAGCGGTGCTCTCGCCATCTCACATTCCAGGCGGAGATGCAATGATCCTAACTGATCTGCAGCGAAAGCCGTACTATCTCGGGGGCATCGGTGACGGGGCGGTGCGATGTGGATCGTGTACTAATAGCCATTGTTGCATGCCTCGTCCCCGCCTCCTCAGAAGCACAGTTCAACATGACCCAGCTCGCGATCCCCACCACCGCGCCTCCGCCGTACGTCGAGAAGGCCGTTGCCTCCCCGACCCCCGTCTCGCCCGCGTCTCCAGCGGACGAGTACGAGAAAGTCGTTTGTGCGCATGACGTCAAGCTCTCCCGCAAGGGCCGCGCCCTTCGTATTGGCCTCACTGTCGCCAACCCCGCGCTCGGCCTCGCCATGGCTATGTGCCCCACCAACCGGCGGCGTACCTGCAGGTCCTGCGGCGCCGTGGTTGTCGTCTCGAAGAAGAAGGCGTTTTGCTAGTGCCAGTGGGTGAGCGGATGCGGATATAGTTATGTCGTGTATAGGGTTGCGTATGCGCTCCATGCAATCGTCGTGGTGAGTAAGTAGGTGGCGCAGTCGCTTCGGGGGGTAGCTACGTACGATTGGGGTCTTCAGATAATCACTCCATACATGGACATAGCTTGGTAAATACGATCATCCCACTATTTCTTGAGGTCGTCGCGCGGCCCCTCACCACCAGGCGAGATCGCTCCGGGAGTCCCCGCACTCGGTGCGTCCGTCTTAGCCTCACTCGCCGCGCCCTTGAGATCGGTGTCTGTAGCGATCTCGGCCCCATCCTCGCCTCCACCCTTGGCCCCGTCCCCGTCCTCACCAGCCTCATGCCCCTTATCGTCGCCCTCGCTCGTGGAGAGGAACTCTGTCATGAGGGGCACAAGCACGGCGGGGTTCATGACCGGCGACCCGTGATGAGCGCCCTGCACGATCTCGTGGCGTGCGCTCAACATCTCCGCGAGCTGCCGACTGCTGACCTGCATGAACTCCTCTGCGTTCTGCCCAACGGCGACGAGGACGGGGCAAGTGAACCGCCACCTGTCGCGCGGCAACTCCTTCCCGTCCTGCAGGCCAGCGCAGAGGCGGCAGTCGTACGCCGCCGTGCGCGCCATAGCGACCATGCCGCGCCACACGGGCCACATGGCCATGAGAATGCCGAGGACGAGCCAGCCGACGCCGAGCGCGGAGCGCATGAACAGGCGCACGGCGGACGCGGGGTGGCCGGCGTCTACGAGCGCATCGATCTCGTCCGGCAGCGCATGGGGCACAGGGGGCCGCGACGCGTCCACGATCAGCGGTGCTTCGTAGGCTATCACGGCGCGCGCCCCAAGATGCGCCGCGTCGAGCGCCAGCACCGCACCCGAGGACGTGCCGAAAAGAGCAGCGCCGGGGTATGCCGAAAGCAGCGCTGCGAGGTCATCCACCTCCTTCGAGGGCGAGTAGGGGGGCGCGTCGCCCGACTCGCCGCGCCCGCGCCGGTCGTAGTTGATCACAGTGAAGGGCAGGAGGGAGGCGAGGCGGCGTAGGTCGTCGCGCGTTGAGAGTGCCGAGGAGATGAGGATTAGAGGTGGACCAGAGCCTCTGCGTTCATATGCGATGGACGTGCCATCCGCAGAGGTTACGGTGCCGGTTGTGGTGAGCAGAGTGGTGGCCATGATAACTGGGAGGTGTGATGGCAAGGTTAGTAGAGCGACAGCGACTGACTGGGTCTGAGAAGAGAAGAAGGGCGTTGGGAGGCGCATGGCGTGTGATGTAGAGTCAACCACCGTCAACTCATACCTCGTGTTTTGCGACCTGGCAGCTGGCATCATGGCATATTGTATTAGCTTGTGCCGGTTATTAGTCCCTATTAGACTGGCCAATATCGCCTTCTCCGCAGTACTTCTTGTCCAGCGTTAACTCCGTCTCTTCGGATGTTGGAGCGGTGGCCGCCTAGGGCTTGTCACAAGTGCACAGTGTTTTCAGGCCCGTCCTCGACATGCAATTCTATGCGTTTTGTTCAGAGTGATGGATGTGTCCGGCATTGACCGTCATCACGATGACAGTTGCCACCCAAAGCTGGACAGCGGAGCGGGATCAATTTGACGCGATTCGAGTGATCCCTGTGGGACACAAACAAGGATTCCCCACACTCCACTGTCAACTCTCTCCCGGCCTCCATCTCCGTCTCCGACTTTCCTCCTCCGAGCACCTCCATCAACCTCGACAACAGCTCCGTATCACATTCTGCTCTCCCCATCTCTCTCCAACCAGTAGACGCCCGACACAACTCCATACTCCACCGCTCACGCACAACTCCTGCAGGCCTCGGCGTCAGTCTTCGCGAGCCTGCAGCCTCCACTTGCTCTGCCCCCAATCCCCTTCCTTCCCTCCTCATGGACGAGTGACGGTACACTGTTCATCTCATTGTAACTACATCCCATCTCAGCCTTACCCCGCCTATCCCTCCACATACTCCGCTCTCCACCTATGCCCCCGCGCGGACAGGGCCGAAAAAGCGGCCGCCCGTCGGCGCCAGCCCCGCGAGCACCCTCAACGCCGCGACAGCAGAAATATGTACAGTATAATACGAGGCCGGGCGAGGTCGGAACGTGAGTGCCTCGGTACGACTGAGGATAGTCGCTGACACCTTCCCCCGCCCAACACGTCACTCCCTCTCCCGGTGCTTCATCATTCTCATCCCATGTCTGATGAAACAGTCGTACCGGCATCGCCATGCGCGAGAACGTCCCACGCAACGAGCAAGGGCTCGAGGACCCGGAGGCCTTCTTCCACTCGTCGCCGCCCGCCGCCTCGCGCTCCAACGCTACGCCAGGGGGCAATGGCTTCCTCACGTCCAGTCCGCCCATGCCCCCACCTCCGTCTACCGGGAAACGACGGCCGCGCATGAGCGACATGAACAACGACTCAGACGAAGGTGCCGACCCGTTAGTGGCTGACGGGCTGCTTGACGACGAGTATGAGCTGGAGAAGATTACGCCGCCTCCCATCACGCATGAAAGCTCTCCAAGTGCGTGCACCAGCAGACCTTGCTGACAGTAGATCCACCCGCCTCCGTCCCGCAGAGGCGACGCAAGGATCAGGACCAGGACGAGAATCCCTTCCGGCCTGTTGCTGCAGAGTCCCCGCCGAAAGCCAACGGGATAGATTCGTCTTCGGACGAGGACATGGTCTCCCAAAACGGCGGGTTTGACGCCAACGATCTCGAGATGGACGTTGCGGGGCAGCTGCAGGAGACCCACATCAACGAGGAGGAAATCGAGGACGAGGACTCGCAGCCAGTGCGCCACCGCCGCAAGTCGGATGGAACCAAGGGCCCACATCCTGTAACGTCTTCTGGTGTTCCGGACAGCGTCAATCCCACGACAGACGCCGAGCCCATCGATGGCGATGATTACAGCGACACCGGAGAACCCTTTGGGGACACTGAAGACCACAGTGACGCCAGCCAGCTTTTCGACGACAACGAGCCAGATCCAACAGGTGACATTGAAGACGCCGAACCTGACCTTGATTCGAACGACGTGAGCCTCGAGCAACGGGCAATCGCGGACGAGAGTGGAGAGGTCACAGAAGAAGGCGACAGTGTCGAGTATCCCGCAGATAAGGCCGAGCGTGGCATCAAGCGCACGGCCACAGTGACTCCTCTTAAGAAGGTCAAACGCAAGTCGCAGATCGCACCCAATGAAGGTCACCAGTATGAAGGAGACTTTGTCTGCAGGCGCTCCGGTCGCAATCACTTCAAGCCCCTCGAATGGTGGCGCGGTGAACACAAGGAGTACAAGCAAGGGACCTTCGGCCCGGAGATTGTGTCGATTGTCCGCGTGCCCGACGAGGTCACTACTAAGCCCCGGGCCACCTCCCGGAAGCCACGCGGACGTGGTCGAGGACGCTCCCAGACTGGTCGACTCCATTCTGCCTCTGCTGCTCCGCCCGAGGAGCTGCCTGGAATGAAGTATCTGAACATGGACTATGAGGTCAACTCCATGACGACTGTAAGGGATTACATCACGGGACAGGAAGTCGTAAGGAGTATGTGTTTCCAGAGGGTGTTGCCATTGACAAACAGAGACATTCCTGCCGTACTCTCGCATCCAGCCGAAGCCCGTTCAGGATGGGATGTTCTCATACCAGAAGGTCTTTGGCGAGGATGGGTTCATCGCTGGTGGTGTGGTTGTCATTCCACCCGGCGGGCAGAAGCCAGCTAAGCCATCCGGCGATAACACCTATGTGCGTGGCCTGAACGAAACGTGCTGATATCAGTTGTTCTACGTTAGCTCTGGCGCGGTCGAAGTCACCATCGGCAATACCTCAGTGCCAATGGGCCCACTATCTTTGTTTATGATACCTCGAGGTGAATCTCTTTCATCTGCTCTGCTGACCCCGAGGTAATCATTACAGCCTTAACAACAAGTTTGACGAGACGGCCACCCTCATTTTCTCGCAGGGTCGCAAGGTGACTCAAAACGAGGCTGAGCGAGCAAAGGCTCGGCAGAAGGCAGCCCAAGAACGGCGGGCGACTCTTGCGGAGCGTGAGCGTGACCGAATTGAATTGGATCCAGAAGACTTTGAGCGGAAGTGGGCCGGTTGGGACGACGGCGCCGAAGGGACAGACGATGGTGTGTTCAGTGAACCGGAGGTCGTTGAGGTCCCCGAAGATCAGTCGGGAAGCTCCGCCGCCTCTGCCTCAGTCACACCCGAACCACAACCTCGGGCGTCACCTTCGCCTCCGCCCATGCCCCCCAAGCGAGGTCCTGGGCGCCCTAGGAAGAATCCCGACGAACCGCCGAAGACGGTAACGGCCAAGCGGGGCCGGCCACCGAGAAGGGGCCGATCATCGACCCGGGGTGAGGGGTCGACGCGGGGTCGTGGTAGAACATAGATTGACGGACATAATGTAGGTTGAGGGGGGACGACTAGTGTGATGCAAGACGAGGGCGAGCGGTGCCCGACACCACTGAGTTCGTGAGCTCGTGAGCCGACAGATGCACGTTCAATGTCTGGAACGACCAGTGACGCAAGTCAGGGCGTGCATGGTACTGGGCGCGGGGTGAAGGGCATGACAGGAGGGGTGATAAAGCGGGGCTCGAGGGGGTCAAATAAGGCAGCATGCGTGGGCGCATGTCTCTGCTGAGTCTCACGATTACATCAGTCGTTGTCGCAGTCATATGCGGGTGTATTAGACGGATTTATCCGGTAATGGATGAGAGGAGTCGAATTTGACTCTGATCCAACTACACTCTGTGTTCTAATTATCCCCTGAGTCAGCAGGAGCGACGCCGCCCCCTCTGAAAGGCATTCTGATCCCGAAGGACTCGGAGCCAGCACCACCACACAGGCCGCCTCGGGCTCCTGGCGTCTCTCACTCTCCACTCGTCCTCGTCCTCCATCATCCTGTTATTCTGCTCCTCTCGCCATCTCATTCAATTCACAATCCTCCACTTTCTCCACGAGACACCTTCAACTAACGCCTTCCACTCCATAAGCACACGCCCCATTCGCTGCCGCGCATCATGAGCGCACTACAAAATCGCGGCGCTAACATGTACGTGTCTCTCTAGCCCCCCCCCCCCCCCCACACCGCAACCGCCGCTGACGCCGCCCTCCCACGCCCAACATCTCCCCACCACCACCTCGTACCACACCATGTCTCATTATAACTCAATCCTCTCCCGCCTCCCGCTGCCCACTTGTTGCGTCTGCCAATCCCGATGCCTGCTATGCCTGCCAACAGGTCGCGCAAGATTCGCATCACTAGTGCGTAGCACGCTCTCCTCCTTTGCCTTACAACTGCTGACCGTGTCCCGTCCATCGTCTCCGTCTTGCGCCTTCTCCCTCGTTGTCCCACCGCTTCCCCTCCCCCCTGCACACCGTCTCATTATCAATGCCCGCGCGCGCGCTGGAACCTCGACCCAACCCCCGCTTCGCCTCCGCTCGGCTCGATGCCACGTGCACCGCCCCTCATTCCGCGAATTCAATGACCAACCAACCATCCTTTGCGTCCTCGCAACGCCCACCGCGCATCATGCCCCTTGTCTTGCGTTCCCGCTACAGTCGTGGCTGCCGATTCGCTGATCAAGCGGGATATTCTGAGGCTGCCCGACCCGTTTGCGATAGTGAGCGTCGATGGCGAGCAGATCCACACTACCTCGGTCATCAAGCGCACTCTCAACCCTTACTGGAATGAAAACTTTGACATAACCGTCAAGGACAGCAGCGTTGTCGCCGTCCAAATCTTCGACCAGCGCAAATTCAAGAGAAAGCAGGACCAGGGGTTCTTGGGCGTTATCAACATCAAGGTCTCGGACGTCCTAGACCTTGAGCTGGGTGGCCAAGGTGAGTCGATTCAGGGTGGCAACTTGGTACTTTGGCCCCGCCTCGGCGCTGGGCCACTTTCGCGTTTGGGTGGCAAGCAACAGCCGTAGCCCCATTCATCTCGAACCAAACATCTACTAGCCCATTCATCGAGAGACACTGACGATGCTCAGAAATGCTCACGCGCGACCTTAAAAAGGGCTCTGAGAATGTTGCTGTCAACGGCAAACTCATCATCTACCTTTCCACCCAGACCAACCAGCCCATCTCGAATCCTGGACCAACTGTCGAGGACCGCAACGTCACAATGCTCACTGGCAACAACTCAACCCAGGCAGCCGCCACCAGCGGTTTGGAGACGCGCGTGAGCAACAACGCTCCCACCCCCGAGCAGCCATCCAGCCCGGCTGTCCCAAGCCAGCAGGTCCAGGCTCCAGTACCACCGCAGCACCCTGTTCCACCAGTGCAGCAGCCCCAGCAGCCAGCGCCAACGCCTCCCGTGCAAACCCCGCAAGCACAGGCCCACCAGGCCGCCGCCGCTGTGTCAGCCGCCACCCACCAACAACCATCCGCTCAGTTTGACTCCCGCTCCGACCAGCTGGGGCCTCTGCCACCTGGCTGGGAGCGTCGCATCGACCACCTGGGACGCCAGTACTATGTTGACCACAACACGCGCACAACGACCTGGAACCGACCTTCAACTGATCAGAACAACAACAATTCAAGCCGCATCGCCGATGACAATGCCGCCCGACAGCGCCATAACAATCGTCTCCTTGCGGACGACATTCTGGATGCGCAGCCCGGCACTGGTGGCTCGCACACCCCGAACAGTCAGACGCAGCAGGTGCCGTCAATTCCTGTCACCCAGCAGACAGCGCCTGGCTCAGGTCCTCTCCCTGCCGGTTGGGAGCAACGCTTCACTCCGGAGGGGCGGCCATACTTCGTCGACCACAACACCCGCACTACTACCTGGGTCGACCCTCGTCGCCAGCAGCTGCTGCGTGTGATTGCACCCGGCAATACGGGCATGACCGTGCAGCCGCAGACAGTCAGCCAGCTTGGTCCCCTTCCCTCCGGCTGGGAGATGCGTCTTACCTCGACCGCGCGCGTGTACTTTGTGGACCACAACACGAAGACCACGACTTGGGACGACCCCCGTCTGCCATCGTCACTTGACCAGAACGTTCCGCAGTACAAGCGCGACTTCCGCCGCAAGCTTATCTACTTCCGCTCGCAGCCTGCGCTCCGTTCCAACACGGGACAGTGTCACATCAAGGTGTCGCGCGAGAACATCTTTGAGGGCTCGTACACTGAGATCATGCGCCAGTCGCCCAATGATCTCAAGAAGCGCTTGATGATCAAGTTCGAGGGTGAGGACGGTCTCGACTATGGAGGTCTCTCGCGTGAATTCTTCTTCCTGCTCTCGCACGAGATGTTCAACCCCTTTTACTGCCTGTTCGAGTACTCGGCCCACGACAATTACACACTCCAGATTAACCCTAACTCTGGCGTCAACCCGGAGCATCTGAACTACTTCAAGTTCATCGGCCGCGTCGTTGGCCTCGGCATTTTCCATCGCCGTTTCCTCGACGCCTACTTCATCGTTTCGTTCTACAAGATGATCCTCAAGAAGAAGATTACGCTCGCCGATCTGGAGTCTGTTGACGCTGGTCTTTTCCGAGGTCTTACCTGGATGCTGGAGAACGACATTACCGACGTCATCGAGGACACGTTCTCTATCACTGAGGAGCACTTTGGCGAAGTCGTTACAATCGACCTCAAGGAGGGCGGCCGCGAAATTGATGTAACAGAGGAGAACAAGAAGGACTACGTCGACCTTGTTACCGAGTACCGTATCTCGCGTCGTGTCAAGGAGCAGTTCGAGGCCTTTATGAGCGGCTTCAACGAGCTTATCCCGCAGGAGCTTATCAACGTGTTCGACGAGCGCGAGCTCGAGCTTCTCATTGGCGGCATGTCCGAGATCGACGTCGACGACTGGCAGAAGCACACCGACTACCGTGGATACAACCCAAGTGACGAGGTCGTCGAGTGGTTCTGGAAGATCGTCCGCTCGTGGCCAGCCGAGCGCAAGTCGCGTCTCCTTCAGTTCACCACCGGCACATCGCGTATCCCTGTCAACGGGTTTAAGGACCTGCAGGGCTCTGACGGCCCCCGCCGCTTCACTATCGAAAAGGCTGGCGAGGTCACCCAGCTGCCTAAGTCCCACACTTGTTTCAACCGTATCGACCTGCCCGCGTACAAGTCTTACGACGCACTTGAACAGAAGCTTACGCTTGCGTACGTTTATCTTCCTGAGCAGCCGCTGACGCCAGTGTTGAAGAGACCGTGGGCTTCGGCCAGGAGTAATTTATACACGCTCACTCCGGCCCCACTACCACGCCTTCCGCTTAGACTGTACTTGGACTCTCAGATCGTAATATTCCATCCCTGTATCGACCTGTTGCTGAATGGAATGGCCGCCGCGCCGCACAGCGGCTATGCAGAATGCACGTTATGTTTGCAGCATCCTCTCTTGCTCTTTCTCTTCTAGCGATACATGTGTCTACTTTCGTTTACTCCCAAACCCGCCGAATCCCATCATCTCCTCCATGCTCTGCTGCGCCGCCACGGCCTCCTCGACCTCCTTTTCTCCACGCTTGCCCTCGACACCGAGTCTCGCGAGCTCCTCGCGTTCGCGTTCCTCTGCGCGCTTCCGCCGCCGTTCTTCGCGGCGTGCCTCACGCTTTGCCCGCTCAGCGGCGCGAACCTCCTCAAGACGCTTGTTGAAGTCATAATTCTTAGCGTCGACTTTGGTCTTCGACTCTTCGCGGAGCTGGGCGATGCGCGCGCGCACCTGCGCGACGGTGGATCGCGCGACGTGTGTTGACTGGCCGAGTTTGGAAAGATCTGGAAGAGCGAGAAGGGGTGAGTGGTGGCGAGGGTTCAGCAAAGTGTGACGAGGGTGGACCGTATTGCGACCGGATCAAACGCAGCGTCAGTCTGGGTTCAACCACAACTCAGCAACACTCACGGAACCTGGAATTGAGGTGGTCGAGATAACTCAGCGAATCTTTGAGTGTGCGATTGCACAGCTCGCACTGGCGTCAGCTCGCTCGCATGCCCGCTCACGTAGAAGCCTGCGCCGCGCTGCCCGCTGCCCGCGGCATTGGAGACGAGCATCGTCTTGCCGAGGTTCTTCTCGAGGTCGACGCCGTGCGCCTGCGCATGCCCCGTTGCGCCGGGCACCGCGACGTCGTCCGGGCGGAATTTGCGGCCTGGAGTTAGCCTGGTGTCTTCTCCCGTCGTCCTCGATGCTAACTCACCCTCCCTCATCGCCTTGTCGCGCGCCTGCGCGAAGGCCCGCGCTTCCCGGTCCTTGTCCCGCGCCTTCTCCGCCCACTCGCCCTTGTCCCAGTTCTTGCGCTCAGGCACTGGCGGCTGCTGTCAGCGATGCCGCGGAGCTTGGAGCTTACCTTATTTGACTCCATGTTGATCGTGGAGAAGAAGGAGGTTCAGGCAAGGGCGACAACTTGGACACCAACACCTCCACTCAGACAATCACGTGACTCCAGAAATCACCAACAAGCACCGTTGCGCAACGTCCACTTTCATCATCGCTCCTCCAAAGCCCCAACCTCCAAGTCATCCTTCCCTTTCATCCCCACCACCCCTCACAGCCCTCTCTCCTTCCGCCCCCCTCCTCCCCCGTCCCGCAAGAGGTGATGTTCAACAACCCGCGCCCGCGCCGGGCGCGCGACAGCACGGCGCCTCGTCAGTCGTCCTTCCCCTCCGAGACGCCTGCTCGCAGCGTCCGCCCGCGCACAACGATACCCTCACCAACGCGCGAGGTCCAGTATGAGGCGGCCGATTACCGCGTCATTTGGTCCCGCGACGCGCGGCATAGTGTGACGGCGGCGGGCGCTCTGCCCGCCGAGGTCGCGCGCCAGGTCGAGAACGCCGACTTTATCCTGCACACCGTCGCGGCGCAGCTGGACCCCGTGAGCGGGTTCGCGCTCGTCTCGGGCCCCGAAGCATGTCTCGCGTGGAAGCACACGAAGCAGGCGAGCAACCCCACCGTGTCCGTCTTCCCTGCGCCGCAGCCGACGCGGTCACACATGGCCACCGTGCCGCCCGCCCTCGCCGCCTTCTATGGATCGACGGAGCCCGGGCTCATCCTCGTCAGCGCGACGGGCGAGGTGCGGTTTTGGGAGAGCATGGGACTCGCGCTGCACAACGTCCAGCGCTTCCAGAGTCTTCAGCTCGACCTGGGGCTCGACTTCGCCGAGGGCCTGTGGAAGCTCGACGACTCCAACTTCGTCGTCACGACTACTGCCTCCACCGCCTTCCGGCTCAGTATTGTGCACGAGGGCGGGCGCCTTGTTCCCAAGGCGACGCCGTTCACCCGCTCCAGCGGCATGAGCATATTCGCGCGTCAGAGCGCCGCCATCTTCAATGACACCGCGGAGCGTAACGGCATCGTCGCGGCCGCTCCTGCGCAGGGAGGATGCTTCCTTCTCGGCCGCAGCACCCTGCAGAAGTGGACGTTGGGGCTCGATGGGAGCGTGCGCGTAAGTTGTTCCCTTTTGGCTGAGCTGACATCAGCTCGGATGGGAGATCGACCTGCGTGAGAGCATTGGCTCGCTCCTCCTCAACGCGGACGGCGCGTGGACCTCAGGCAACATGCTGCTCATGTTCAACGACCTTGTCGCCGTCTCAGCGCAGAAGCATGCCGCGCTCGTCAGCTATCACCGCCAGGATGGAGCCAGCGGTGATCGCAAGCAGGCACAGCACGCCATCATCGTCTTCGAGAACCCCGACGCGCGCACATTCACCGTGGACAACAGCGTCTACCTCTCGTATCTCGCACACGCCGACCCGCGTATGCTCGATGTCCCGCGCCTCTTCATTCCGCGCGGCTCGCAGACCGCCTTTGTCCGCTTCGCTGATGCCATCCTTATGACATCCCTGTCGAGCAGTGAGTTACCTGCACTTCGCTGCTGACCTACAACAGTCCCATACGAGGATGTCATCACTCTTCGCGATTCTGGGCGCAACGTCTTCATAGGCGTCGCTCCGACTGCGACTGGGCATGCTGCCTCCAGCATTGTCGCCATGGCATCGCTCGGCGGCCTTATGACAATCGAGGTGCACGAGGGCGTGGCGCAAGCGCGCAAGATGACACCCGCGGCGAGTGCTACTGCACGTCTCAAGAACAAACTCGAGCAGGCCGTCATGTTTGGCGCCAATCGCGAGGTGAGCTTTAGACCTCGCATAGCTTACACCTGAACCCCCTTACCTTCGACCTTCCCCCTGGCTTCCAGGGCGACCTCCCTGCCGCAGCGGAGGAAGTGTCCGCTGAGGTCGTGTCGAATAGTGAGTCGCACATTCGGAGTTCAGCTGACACCAGGCGCCGCGTTCATGACTCCCGTTAGCGAGACGCGCCAATCGCTCATGGACCGCCTCGCCAAGTTGCGTGAGCTCATGCTCTTTATCCGCCACAACGGTGTGCTCAGCTTGGTACGTTTAGGCTTTGAACGACTGTACAGCTCTTACCCCAGTTCCCGTCCTCATCTCGCCGTCGTCTGTCGGCGCATGCTGAGAAGGTCCAGACGGCCCTCGAGCTGTGGGATTACCAGAACCGCGTTATGGAGTGAGCTTCGTTGAAAGGATTGTCAGCTGACGAAACAGCAAGCTTAATACCCGCTCGCCACAGAGTCTCCTCGCCAACAGCATTCAGACCCTCATGGGCCAGCTTGGTGATACCGAGGAGGACTTTGTCCGCGCCTTCTTCCGGCGGCACATCCTGGATCTCGACCGCCTCCTTGACACCGTCTTCTTCACTTTCAAGGCAGCCATTGACGGACAACCAGCGGGCTCTGACGTATCCGCCTGGGTCTTGGAGGCGAACCGTATCTTCACCGTAAGCAGCGAGGCATCCTACGATTAGCTAATATAAGATCGCCCTCCGCGCTTCAGACGCGTGGCGCATGAACGAGATGGAGTTGTACGCGATCGACGCAAGCCGTGCCACGGTCGATCTGTGGACGGCGTCCGACTCGCTTCTCAACGACATGGACTCGTTGTATGGGTTTACTCGCAAGGCCATCCAGGATCGTACGCGGCGGATTGGGACCATCGTCGATGAGGAGTCCGGCAGCTCCACGGGTAGCATCGCGCTTCAACAGAAGGAGCAGGCAGAGCTCAAGACGCAGATGACGACGCTTGCGGAGGGATTGTGCGAAAACGTCGTGGACAGGTTGCTCGTCGCTGAGAAGTAAGCCGCAGGCGCCCTGCGCTAGCTAACATCAGCCGCGCATCGGGCAAGAGCGAGGATACGGCGGAGACACGCGATGTGCTCATTCTTCAGCAAAGATGGGAGGAGCTCAAGCCCCGCGTCATCCGGCCTCTTGAACAGATTGGAGACCTTAGTGCGGCCTACGGGCTTGCAGAGCAGTTCCATGACTACAAGACGCTCGTATATCTGTGCGAGAAGAGTGGCGACAGCGGTCGCTCCCAAGTGTATATCGAGCGCTTTGGCAACGACTTCGCCTTCGAATTGTACCAGTGGTACATTGACCAACGTACGTTGTGGAGACACAAGTGTTACTGACATCAGGGCAATACTACGACCTGCTGGCGCAGGACGAGGTTTACGGCGCGCGCCTGACGGCCTTCTTCGCGGAGCGCCCACACCCCGAGCTCAGCTGGATGCACGATATCGCGAGCAAGCGGTATGGTGCGGCTGCGGCCTCATTGGCCGTCGTAGACGGGCAGACGGCCGCACTGGCGGAGAAGCAGCTCGTGTCGTCAATCGCCAAGCTCGCCGCAGTCGCCGAGTTCAAGGTGTCCGGCAGCGGCTCGCACGCCGTGAGCCGCATCGACGACCAGCTGGACAACATTGCTTTGCAGCGAGCGTTGGCGGACGATCTTGCAGACGACGTGGTTCCCGCTGCCCTCGACGACAGGCCAGCGCTCACCCGCATCCTCGAGAACGGAGTGGACGCGCTGCGTGCTGGCGACGCCCTCTCTACCGAAGACCTGGTCGACGTGCTCACCCTCAAAGCCAGTGACCGCGGCGGGGACGGTGCACTCGCGATCGAAAGTCTGCAGCGTGACGACACGCTGCCCGCCGGCCGGGCGGCTGCGGCACTCAAGAGCACATGGCGCCGCATCTACATCCGTGACGACTGGGCCAAGCTGGCCAACACCGCGGGGCGCAGCGAGGAGGACCTGCGCGCTGGCCTGCGGCGCACATGGGCCTACGCTACGCTCTCTGCGCTGCAGAGCAAATCCGTGGCGGAGAAGTACGTCCTCTCGCCCGCGCAGGCGGTCGGTACGCCGAGCGAGGCTGAGATCACCGCCCGCTTCCCCGCGTACTCGGGCGACGAGGTCGCCGCGCTCATGCAGGACCACGAGGCGGAGGTGCGTGTCCTGCTCAAGCTCGTTGAGGCAGGGCTCGAGGAGCAGGTGCAGGGCGTGCGGCAGCTCGCCGTCGCCGACGCGGAGGCGCAGGAGGATGGCGACGTAACGATGGGGTGAATAGACGAGATGTAACTGTGCACATTGGGCTTCCACGCCTCTTCCATCTCTCTTACCCACGGCTTCGCCTTACAACCATGACAATGAAGCGGTGCATGCGGGGATCAAGTCAAAATGCGCGTGCACGAGCCCCCGGAGCATAGAGACGAGATTAGTGAACGCAGGAGCGCACCCTCTCATCGGCGAGATGGCCGAGCGGTCTAAGGCGCTGTGTTAAGGTGATACCCGTATCATCCGCAGTCTTCGGACGTGGGTTCGAATCCCACTCTCGTCAAACGAGGATTAAGTTCCTCAGCCTACTCTTTTGCGAGGTCCGCTACCTATCATCTTCGTTCTTGTGAAGGCGACCTCTGCGTCAGGGTTCTGGAGGGGCGTTAGAAGACCTTGCCAGACCTGAGGCGTTGAGACGTTTGGAGTGGGCGGGGATCGCGGGGAAGGCTGGGAACGATCAGTTTGGCGAGCAGGGAGCTGTGCACGGATAAGCCGTTGTTCCATAATGAGAAAGCAACTAGGGGACAAGCGGGTGCGCGGCGCTGTGATGTGAGTGATTGACTTGTGCCCGCAAATGAGATTCAGTTTCGAGTGCAGAGGGATGTAATTGTCTTGCACCCTCTCAGACCAGTCTCGCTCTCTCTGCCAGAATATTCCCAGGCCGACATGCGACTCTACCGGCCAAGCCTCGCCTCCACGACCTGCTGCTCCTCTATCCCCACGCCCATCTACTCCACACATACATATGCATGGATGCCTGCGTACAGGCGCTACAACACCACGGGTGCGTAACCCGCTTCTCTCTTAGGCTTACTTTGCGCCTTTCTTCGTTTGACTTCTTTCGATTCTTCTCTTTGTTGCTTCGATTTTATATTTCAGTTTGAGCGCTCGCAGGCTCGCGCCCAGTCGAAGCGTCTATGAGGGGTGTCGGCTGCCGCCACATGCGGCCGAGAGCAGTGAGAGCAGTGCTTGTCTACTTGGTTCCCGAAAGAGCAGCGCGAGTGCGGCGCGCCAGCGGCGCGGGCGCTATCTTGGCTTGCTGGGCTCGGGTCATGGGCGGATGGGGGAGAGTGGGGGTGGCCTTGGGCGTCTGCGCTGATGCCTTTCGCGCAGGGGTACCGGCGGCCGAGGAAGGTACAGAAGGCTGAGCTGGTTTCGGAGGTTGCGCTTGTGCTGGGCCTTGAGCTTTGATCTGCTGCGCTTGCGGAGCAGCAGCCTGCTGCATCACCTGCGGACCCGTTGCGCCTGAGACAACGACTGTTGAGCGGCGGCGCTTGGGCTGCGGGCATCCATCCGGCTGTTGAGTCGGCTGGCGGACGAGAGGTGGCTTGGCGCTGGCTTGGACGCCAGGCCGGGCGGGTTGCGACTGTGCGTGTGGTGGACGAGGCTGTGGCTTGCCACGTTGACCGTGGGGCTGGGTGACAAACGGCATGCCGAAGCTCTCGGTCGACGAAGTGTGGCGCAGCGATATGCCTGCCAGCTGCTTGAAGAGCTGGAACAGATCTTCACGCAGGATGTTGGCGAGCAGGGTCGCCTCCTGCAAACCGAGCTTGGCCGCAAGGGCGCGGGCCTCGACAAGCGGAATCCACACACCCGGCACACCGGGCGCATGGTGCATCCCCTGCGGGGAGATCAGCGGCACAGTACGGTGCGATGCCAGCGTGATCGAGGGCGCATTGAGAAACTCAGGGATTCTCGTCGGTCCCACACCGAGCGCTGTCAACAGAGCGGTGCCGTTGACAAAGTCGGTGTCGAGGCGACGTAGAACGGTGCAGCGTCCACCCTTGGGGTTGTCCCAGATATGCGAGTAGCAGGGGAGATTGTCAACGACGCATGCGTCGATTCCCGGTAGCAGCCGCTTGGTAGTCCCACCAGGTCGGCTCTGCGTGGAGCTTGTCGAACTTGGGGTGGAAACGGACGTGGAGGCTGAGACTGCAGATCCTGTCGGTGAAGCAGTAGTCGTCCGGGCGACAGGAGAGACGGTGCGTGTCGGGGCCGGGGACGGGCCTTGCGACGGTGCTTGCGATGGTGCTTGCGAGGGGCCTTGTGGCATGGGCTGAGGCGGAGCCGGACTCGGAGCAACCGCGGGGGAGGGCGCCGGGGAAGGCACAGTTACCACAGCGGGCGCGGGTTTTGCAACTGCCTGTACAGGAGGGGTTGCCTGGGTGATGTGCGTCGGAACTGGGGTCGGGGCCTGCAATGGCGCAGGAGCCGCCGCTGGGGCTGGAGCGGGCTGAGGGACAGTTGCGTGAGTTGAGGCAGGGGAGGGGTTTGCAGGAGGCTTGTCTTGAACGACAGGAGAAGTCAGAGGCGCGGCCGCAGAGGTAGGCGCAGGGGCCAGGACCGGTGCGGGAACTACGGTTGGTGCAGGTGCAGGTGCTGCCGCAACAGGTGTCGACTTCGGTACGGACCCCGACTTCTGCTTCACTGGCTTGGGCTTCTCGGGCGCCTTCTCCGCCTTCTCCGTCTTGTCCGTCCTCTCCTTCTCCACGTCCAACGTGGGCTTGGGCTTGAGAGGCTTCAGTGCACCAGGTATGCCAGGAGGTCTGGGCGCAATGTTCAGGACCTTCTTAGGTGGCGAGCGTTGATCCTTCGCCAGCGGCTGAGGAGCGCCCACAGGGGTAGGCGCAGCAGGCAGCGGCGGAGGACCGGCGGGCGGCAGCTGGGCGGCGAGCTCCTCCAGGTCCTCTGCCGACAAATCGATAGCCATCGCGTCAGGGTCCGTCTTGGAGAGCATCGCCATCATTGCAATGTCTGCTGGTGGCACGATCGGGGTCATCTGCAGCGCGAGCGGCGACAAGGTGGTTGGATGAGGAACCATGCTGTTGATATCGTCGGTCGAGCCCCAGTGCGGAGACATCTCGGGCCACGGCGTCGGCTGCGAGCTGGGACCCGCGCTCGAGCTAATTGAGGGCGTTGCCTCGCCTGGCGAAGTGTTGCCCGAGTCGGTTGATGGCGACGCTGTCGGGCATGCATTTGCGAAGGTGCGCAAACACTCGTCCCACTCGCGCTGTTTGCGAGCGCGTCTCAACTCCTCTTCTCTTGCGAGGGCCTCGGCGGCCGCCTTCTCCAGCTCAGCTGTACCGATCGCCTCCTCAAGCTCCATATCTTCCCCAGAAGACGACTCCTGTACCTCGGTAGGAGCGGCCTTCGGGCTCACGTTGACTACGATGGCCTCGGTTGGACTCGGAGCCGGCGTGATGCGTTCGGCCTTGCGAGGCGTTGATCGGTTTCTTCGGGAGCTCGAACGCTGGCTCCTCTTGCGCACCAGCGGTGGGGGAACCAGCTTGCCGACGGTGGTGGGGCATGGAACAAACGGATTGTTTACTCCGATACCACCCCAGCTGCTACGAGAAGGATCTTGCCGAGTGCGCCCTCGCCCGCGACCGGGAGTGGCGTGCGACTTTGACGCTCCAGGGAGCCAGCTGTCGAGCTCGTCCATGTGCACGCTCTCGGGACCGATCAGCACTTCTTGTCCGTAGTCGTCGTCGTTGTCGTCCGAATCGAGATCAGGGAGCTCAGACAGGGGAGACGACGCAGTTGACACGCTTGATTCGCGCGATGGCTCGGACAAAATAGACGAGTGCTCTGAGGTTGCGGCCGGAGACGGATAGTAATCCTCGGGCTCTTGCTTGATATTCATACTGAGGGCAGACGTCGTCTGAGCCCACTCAGCTGTATGCAGAGCGCGATCTCGCTCAGGCGTCGAGATGTCACCGACAGTTGAGCCGACTTCGAGATCCGAGAAAGTCTCTTCAGCATGCACAGGAAGTTGGCCGGACTCGTCGAGCCAGGGCTCGTTGTGATCCATGTCCACGTCCATGGCCATGGTTCGGCTCTCCCAGTCTCTTGCAGTTCTGAAGAACGACGTGGGGGATGTTTCGACAAACGCAGGCAAGGAGCGGCCGGCCATGCTGGGTGAATGCACAGGACTAGACGTAGACCATGCAGGGAGAGCATTTGCACAGGTTGCTGACTTGAGCTTGCCTTGGAAAGTGAGATTGACGGTAACAGTAGACGAGTCGGTCTGACTAGAGATGTCGGAGGCGGGAACGTTGTCGAGCTGATTGTAGACAATCGCGGTAGGAGGGGTCGTCTCGTCAAGCGAGAACAGCTTGGACATGGCGCTTGTGGTGGCAGCAACCTTTGCCTCAACCTCGAGCAGCTTGATTCCCTCTGGAAGCTCGGCATCGATCTCCTCGTCCTCGGCCCTTACAATGACGCCTGATCCAGTGCCCCATTCAGGGTCGCGCATGTCCTCATCCTCGCTCGAGCTCGTGTCGAAGCCGATTGGTTCGTCGTCAATGCTTCTTCTAGCACCCCAGACAGTGTTGTCCAAAGAATGACACGGGAAGGGCGAGTGCGCAGGGAGAGGGTGCAGCGGTTGTGAGGGGGTTGGAATGGGTGAGAACAACTCTCCCAGTGGCGACATGCGCGGCCGCTGCACGTAACGCTGCTGGCCAGCAGCCAGTGGAGGGAAGGTGGGAAGAACGAGGCGACGCTGAGATGGACGAGCCTTCGGTGCCGCCTCGTCATCAGAAGACGACTCGGAATCTGACGAGTCGAAGACGCTCTTCTGTTGGCGACGACGCTGCGGTGGCGGAGATGTGGGTGGAGTAGAACACGGGATTGCGGAAGAGTCGACGGTCTGGCTGCGGGATACGTCTCGCGACATTACGCTCGGTGCGAATGGACCATCACTTTCCTCGCCTTGCTGCGATGCAGCATCACCACCTGCTGCTGACAGGCGCAACTTTATCCTTGGAGGAGGTTGCGAGGATGATGTGTCTGCCGATGAAGATGGAGTAGCGCTGCGATCCTTCTTGGGCCGACCCCGTGGAGTGCTTGAAGACTCCTTGGACGGAGCCGGCTTGATTGAGCGTTGCCTAGGAGCTGCGGGCTTGCGAACGGGAGCCTTGGGAACAACAATGCCAGCGAAGGGGTTGCGCCACTTGACTCGCCCCGCATCAGAAGACAGGTACCAGACAGGACCTTTTGGTCTTGAGGGACCTTGGAATGCCTGGGGGTGAAGGGCAGGTTCGAGCACGGCCTCGGCCATCGATCCCGAAAGTTGATACTTGACGAGCAGCGGTTTGCGAGCGGGCGATGCCTTGGAGCATCGCGACTGGTGCGTCCGGATAGCGCCTTGGATCATCGTTCCAGGGGCGACCGCCACTGACGGCGGGCGTAGCCAACCGTTTTCAAACGCGACGTTCGCGAGTTCGTCGGGTGAGAGCGCGATATTTCCCTGCGGCACATTAGCGCTTCTGTGACACACAGCCCCAGCCCCAGCCCCAGCCCCAGCCCCACTACCCCACACGGCCGGACTCACAAGTGTTGCACAGGCTCCACAGATAGCCATGAGAACGTCGTCAGCGAGGTCCTCGTCCGACACGCCGCATTGCTGTTGTCCACCAAAGTCGGCCGGGAAGGGGCATGGAACACGTTCGCGTGCAGTGTGTGCGTTGCGCAGACCATGAACCTTGGGGGCGACAAGGGTCTTGGGGACAGATCCCGAGCCTAGAGGTGTCGACGGCGGATTTGGATCTGCTGGTGTCAAAGGACCGGCACTCGAGGGTGGTGACGGAACTGCGCCTCCCACAGATCGTCGTGACCGGGCTGAGGTGCGAGTTGGCCGCGATGGCCCTGCTGTGCCGACGGTGGGAGTGGACGACGTCACTGCTGCTCCGCTGGGACCAGCGGCAGCGCCGACGGCGACCCCAGCAGAGGCTGTGGACGTCGATCGTGGAGCGGGTGGCGTGGTGGCGGGAGTGGAGGGCGTGGCAGACGTCGCGGCAGATGACCTCGCTGTGCGGGCCATACCGCGAAGCTGCCGTGCGAGATGGGGGATAGAGTCGCCACCGGGAATGGAGTGGCGGGCTCGATCAAAGGGAGGTTGTTTTGTTGTAAACGTTCGTCAAGGCTGTTTTGAAGTGAAAGGGGGGAAATGACGGGGTGAGGAAGGTCGAGGCCAGCCGAAGAGGCGACTGGGATCGGCCGTGCCGCAGTCGATGGGGAAAAATGTGAAGGAAATGTGTCGAAGGGATAGCTCCGGCGGTCGTCGTACGGGTGAGCTTTGAAGCAGAGACGGCGACCTCAAAAGAAGAGGAGAGAGAAGAGGAGAAAGAGTGGGTGTTGGGACGAGAAGGGAAGGATGAGAGGTGTGATGAAAAAGATTCGGGAGCGATTGTCGGTGCCCGGTGGCAACGGAGCAAAGGCGAGTCGAGCAAAGCCAAGGGAAGCAAGGGGGGAGGAGGGAGGGATGTGGGGATGCGAGAACTGGGCGGGGAATGCGACGTCGCCTCACGGATTGATAATGACGACGCGCCCGGCAGCTGGCGGCGAGCGTGAGAGCGTCGATTCGCGACCGTGTCTTTGTCCGTTGCTGCGCGCGTGTCGCCGCAGTCAGTTTGCAATGTTCCGATCCCAATGATCCCTCTGTGTTTTTGCCCGATCACTGGGAATCTTGCTCAGTTGTGAGTGACCGGCTCTCCGACGACGTTTGATCTGCCTGGCCTTGGCCTGACCTGGTTGAGCGGCTCGGGCCTTGACGGATAACGGGATGAGGGAAGAAGAGGTTCCGCTTTGCGCACGCCGTTCCTGGGGACTGGGTACACGGTCAAGTGAAAGCTCGTCCGAGTGTCAGGCGCCTTGGTGGTCGGTCGGTCTGCAACTACAGTGCGTTCTCCTTGGCAAAGGTTGATGCGGAGCAAGGTTGCACTGGGTGGAGATGCAGGACGGGGCGAGAGGGTCGCTGAGTGGTCTGCGAAGGGTGATGGAGCTGCCGTATGCTTTGGTGGGGAGGGAGACGCGGAGAGAGATAGAGAGCGAGTGAAGAGAGTGAAGAGAGGAGAGAGAGAGAGAGAGAGGGATGTTTTGGCGTTGGGTAGAAAGAAGCAGAGGACGACGTGTTGAGCAGAATAGCCTCTGGGACTGTCGACTGTCAACTGTTGTGTGTGTCCAAGGGGAGAGGCGCGCGTCAAGGGCTTGAAAGTGTGCGAAGGAAAGGGCTGGGTGTATCGCCTAGTCTGTGCGCAGGGGGGGAACAGGCCGAACAGAACCCTCGTACGGTGATCTAGTGGTTCACCGCGCGCGTCGCGTAGCGTTGTTTCTTCCTTTTGGTGAGGTTGGAGCTTGTGGGCGGATGACGGACAAACTCCCGGAGTGGTCGAGGAGCAGGGGGCGGGCGAGAGGGGGAGGGCGAGGAGGGAGAGGGGAGGAGGGGAGGAGGGGAGGAGGGGG